GAAATATAGCAAACTAAAATTACAACTTGAATATATTGAAAACCTGAATTGACCAATAGTGAGCTATGAGAATAAGTCAGTGGAAAGAAAAAAAAAGTCTCCCAAGAAGAAAAGTCAGGACCCTCATGGCTTTACTGTCAAATTCTAGAAAACATTTAAAGAAGAACTAATACCAATTCTTCTCAACCTATTTCAAAAAAAACAAAAAGGAGGAAACCTCAACAAACTCCTTCTATAAGGCCAGCACTACCCTGACACTAAAATCAGTCAAAAACACCGTAACAACAACAAAAACTAGAGACCAATATACCCCTGATGAGCACAGATGCAGAAAGCCTCAACAAAATATTAGAGAAAATGAATCCAATAGCATGTTCAAATGAGATTTATTCCAGAGATATAAGAGTGGTTCGATATATGCAAATCAATAAACATAATTCAGCTCATCAGTAAGTCTGAAGGACAAAGACCATGTGATAGACATAGAAAATCCGTTTGATAAATTTCAATATCCCTCCATGATAAAAACTCTTAACAATAGGCACAGAAGGAACATACTTCAACAGGACAGAGGACACACGACAAATTCACAGGCAACATTATGCTAAATAGGGGAAAGCTGAAAGCCTCGATGCTAAAATTTGGAACAAAGCAAGTATGCCAATGTTTGCACTCCCATTAACACTATGCTGGAAGTCTTAGTTAGGGAAGAGGAAAAAGAGAAAGAAAGGAAGGCAGGTAGGAAGGAAGGGGCATCTAAAATGGAAAGGAGGAAGTTAAATGATCTCTGTTTGCCGATGACATGATCTTATGTATAGAAAACCCTCAGGACCACCAAAAAACTGTTGGAACCGATAAACAAATTTAGTAATGCTGCAGGAAACAAAATCAAAATAGAAAAAAAAATAGTGTTTTTAAAAATCAAGAAAGCATCCCATTCAAAAGTTTTTTTTTGCAAAAAATTTAATTATCTAGAAATAAGTTTAAGAAAGTAAAAGATCTCTACGAAATTATAAAACATTGATATAAGAAATTAGAGAGGACATATAAAATAAAGACAACCCATACTCATTGGTAAGAATATTGTTAAAATGTCCCTGTTTCCCAAAGTGATCTGCAGATTCAATGCAATCTCCATCAAAATACCAATGTCATTCTTTAGAGAACTAGAAAAAAAAATCACAAAATTCATGTAGAACCACAAAAGAACCCCAAAAGCTGAAGCAATCCTTAGTGAAAAGAAGAAAGCTGGAGACATCACAATACTTCAAAACATGCTACAAAGTGACAATAATCAAAATCATATAACATGAATAAAAACAGAGACCAATGGAAGAGATTCGAAAATCCAGAAATTAACCTACCTATTTATAGTCAACTGAATGTTGTTAAAGGTACTGAGAACATACACTGGAGAAAGAAAAATTTCTTCAATAAAAGGTGCTTGGGAAACTCAACATATATATGGCGAAGAATAAGACTAGATCCTTGTCTCTTACCACATATAGAAATCAGCTCAAAAGAAATATGAAAATACTGGAAGACAACAGGGCACATACTTTGAGACAGTATCCTTTGATCAGAAATTCACTCACAAAATGCATTTTTATATGTCTGCATTAGGACACACATAAAATGATGTTCCTGTGGTTTAATTGGCAAAGACTGAAAACATCTAAAATTCATTAATAAGGTACCAGTTAAAGAAATTATGATTAGATGAATTTAATGAAATCTAACATACCAATTATAAAAGAGAAACTAGTATATATTAACTGATAGGAAAAGACTGTCAAGAAGGGTGACTGTGTAGGACATTAATTTGTAGCTGGGCTGGAAAAGATCCATTTTTATCCCTGGGGAAGTCTGGATGTCTAGCTTTAACTTTTGGCCAAGATAAGGACATGACAAGCTGTTTCAAGTTGCAACTCCTCTGGTAATCCTACACAGCAAGTTTGCATACTGATGGTTTTCATTTGGCTGAACTAGTTAGACAGCTTGGCTTGATGACATGATTACAGAGGCACAAAAACCCAGCTGGGAACTTTTGCTTTGAGATCTTATCACAAAGATGCTGCTATTTCAGTCTTCAAATCAGTGTGTGTGTGTGTGTGTGTGTATGTGTGTGAATGTGTGTATGTGTGTGTGTATGTGTGTGTGTGGGGGGGTGTAATGACCCTGTGGAGCATGCGTCAGGCTATCCTTTGGACCCCAACATTTGCCAGAAGCCTCTTATCTTGCTGCACCATATCCTCTACCTTTAAATAAAAGGTATATTTGAGTGGAACTCTATGTAGAGTCCTCTGTTGTCCTTTCAAATATCCAAATTTGTGAAATCTTCACAGAAGTGAAATGAAAATAGTAAGGTCCAAAGTAATAGGCAGGACTGTGGGGAATATGCTTTCTGAAATGGTAGCAAGTCAAGTGGAGAAAGCTGTGAGGGACACCCAGGAGCAAATTCTGATTCCTCCTAGATGAGGATGCAGTGGCTGTGGCAGCTGGCTTGAGAACCAGTGGATCTTGCAAATATTTCAGGACACACACTGTGAGGGAAGAGCAGCATCACACAAACCCGGAAGGTCAAGGGTTGTGTTTTCTCTCATATGTGGAAGCTAGAGAGGAAAAACTCAAGGTGGGAGGGATCTCATGAAAAGCAAAGGGAGATCAGAGAATGGAGGAAAGAAAGGGACCAGGGTGGGGGAGGAGTAGGGAAGTGCTGGGGATGACACTGGCCCAATTACATTGTTATATTGTGTGCATGTACTGATGGGTACAATGAATCCCACCATTATGTATGACTGTAATGTACCCACAAAAATATTTGGAAAAAATTTTAAAATGTTGTCTATTAAAAAACGAAAACAAAACCAAGAGCAGTGGCACAGCTCCAAGTGAAGCTTTCGTCCAGCTTGACTCTGTCTTACACAGACAGTGTCACCAGTATCTGTGACCTCAAACCTGCCTCTGAGGATCTTGGGAAACTGATGGTGTGAGAGGCTGTACCAGCACCTGCCTGTGTAGTACTACACCTTCACTCAGGGTGAAGACTGGGCTCCTAGAGCCCAGAGTCTAAGATATCCAAAATATAGCACCATAGAATCTATCACTCTTAAAATAATATTTTGGTAAGGAAATGTATTTGGGATTAATAGAAGAGGCCAGAAATTAGACTGCTCTAATTTGAAGGAGTGGCCATCTCTTACGTACCAGGAGAGTAGACACTTTCTATGTCCTGAACCACAGATAGTGACTCTCCTAGCTGTGGGCAAAATGAAGGCTGAAAATGAGGGCCAGGAAATGTAAGGGACAGACAGGTGTGCTGAGGATGCCAAAGTGGAGCTCCTAGTTAGATGGGGAGAAAACAACTGAGTGGAATGGGCACAGGAGCTGGGGATGCTTGGAACATGGCATGATGGAGTCTTGCTTCTCTTTTCCTGTGGGGTCTCTTCTGCTTTTGTTTTCTCGTCACAGCTACAGAAGAGAAATTAGAAGTCACACTAGAAGCAGGAGGGATTTTCTTTTCCTGATCCTTTTTCATTTCTACTGCCACAGATATGTAATGTGGAGGCTGTGAAATAAAAGTGAAGTATAAAAAGAAGGGCTTGTGGGAAGGTCCAAAGTGGCACRGCAGCATTTTCTCTGCTGGGTTTTTAAAAATTTATCTCCCTGGTTTGGGAGCAAAAAGGAAGAAGGGGCTATTGGAGGAGGGGTGGGAATAATGGGGCTGAAGGGAGAAAAAGAGAGCAATGTTCACACTCCAGAAGAGAAATATATACCCACCTACAGCTAGCTACAAGATCATTGTAAAWAAGTGATGCATGTAAGTACTAATAAGCACAAATTCTTTAATATATTTTTAACTTTTGGAATTCTTAGAAATTAACTTTGTCCTCTCTGAACAAAAATCATTGTTCTTTTTCCTTCTTTGTCCCTTTTTCCATCTATCCATCTATTTACCCATCCATCCATCCATCCACCTACCTACCTACCTACTCACCTACCTACCAACCAGAAAATAAAAGGGGAAAACTAGTTTTTAAGGACTCCTAAAAAATTTTAAGTAGGCACCAAAAGCAGTTTTAAATTTTATACACCAATGAATGTCCTTATGAGCATGCAATAAACAACGAAAGGAGAAACACAGCGGCAGTGGGAAGGCGCAGAACAATGGGAATGTTCCCATCACACCTCTGTGGATTGGGGACAAAGGATCTGTCCCTTTCCAAGATGTTTTTCACATCTCTCTGTGGTTATGGGACATAAGGTTCTGGCTCTTTCTAAGAGTGAAAAATCAATTTGGGAACACATACTACAGGAACACAAATTCACCCTGAAGTATGTACTCTTCAGTTCCATAAACATCCACTAAAGAAGAGAAGAAAGTAGGAAAGGAAAGAAAAAGAGACAAAGGGGAACAACAAAATAGAAAATGAAAGAGGAACAGAAATGGGGAAAGGTAAAAGGACAGGAAGAGGCCAAAGAAGATAAACTAAGAAGAAAGGACATCCAGAGGGGGAAAGAGAAAGGGAACAAAAAGGAGCGGGACTGTAGCTCACAGCCATTCTGGTGGACTCCCTGGGAGCTGGCTGTGATGAGACAGTCATGCTGTTTGGAATTGTTTAGAATGACTAAAGCTGTGGCACATATTTTAAGCCCCTCTATTTAAGCACATGTGGTGTGAAACACTTGAAATGTGACTAAACYGAACTGAGATGTCTGTAAGTATAAATGCACACCAGATTTGGAAGTCTTTGTATAAAAAGAAGGAAAGTGAAATATTTTGGATATATTTAGGCTAAGTATAATGTATTTTAAAAATTAATTTTACTTTTTTACCCTTATAAACATAGCAACTAGAAAGTTTAAAATTACATCTAGGGCTCATATTACATTTCTGTTGGAATGCACTGTTCCAACACTGTCACATTTTAATGATTTTAATCAAGGCTGATGAAGTAGGCTTGCTAATGTCTGAACCCCCCAAGCTGCTAAAAACATACCAATATGCTGGACTTTTTCATCAATGACCTCACAGTGGTAAGGCCACCGTGTTGGGCTCAGGGGCCCAGAAGAAGAGACACCATATAAATCCCGTGGTTCACGAAGGCGTGGCACCCATCTCCCCAGCTGATATTCCAAGAGTATTTGTGTGGTCCGAGGGAAGAATGGGTCACCAAAAGAATTGGCTGAGAAAAAGATTCAAACACAACCAGGAGTGACAAGAAGGAAAACACCAATTCTTACGATGTTTTACATAGTTCCTTTTTTCTTTCTAACACTATTCAATTTATGGATATTTGTGGATATCATTAGTACTAACAATTATGACTTTTTTTAAATAAAAGCACTAATGAAATTTTGTGACAACTGATCTTCACAGAAGCCAAAAAAAATATTGTCAATTTGTATGCTATCAAATTATTCTCGCCACTACCCTCCATACATCTGGTTCTTGCAGCTCTCCTAGCACTTCATCAACCACTTCATCAACCACTTCATCCATGGGTTAAATACACTCTGGGACTACAATTCCTCACTGCTTCCTGCAATTATGTTCTCAAAGGTTGCTAGTGATCTCTCAGTCACAGTCCCACCCCCCCAGTTTTCATTCTAGGGTCCCCATGTGGCAAGCCCCCTGAACACACTGGGGCCACTCCTAGCAGGCAGTGCAGTGGCCCTGTCTCTAAYTGTGTGGCATCGATTTACTGAGAAGCTCCCCTTAAGCCATTTCCTTCCTTAATGATACTTCAGAAACTTGACAACTAGTCTCTAACTAGGAACTTGCCAGTGAAATGACCCAAATAAGGCTCCCTCTCCACTCTAACCAATCAAGTGTTTTCTTTGCCTTGCTTCTGCATTCACCCTGTGAAAGCCTTCCCCTCACACCCCTTAGGTGGAGCCCCAAACCACTTGCAGTGTTCCGCTGCCTGATTTTTTTGTGAATTGCTGTTTGTTCAAATGAACTCTTTTTAAAAATTTAATGTGGCAAATTTTATCTTTTAACAATAGGTTTCACCCAAATTGGAACAAAACGGCAAATCTTAAGTCCTTTATAAATGAATCATGGCTTTCATTTCATTTCTTTTACTATTTTCTAACATAAACCAGGTTTACCTAAAATGATCCCCAAAAGCTTAATCTCCAAAAGATGCTTATAAAAGTGTATACAACAGTTCTCATTTCTGTCTCCTACTCACCAGAATAAAAATTCTCTATTTTACCCAATCTGACTTTCTTAGTTTCTTCACTTTTTATCTACTCAATGTCTTATGATAAAAGGGAGGAAAAATATATGGATAAGTTCAAACCTGTCAATAGTGTACACTGACGAATATCTTCACTTACAAATTTCATAAATGTTTCTTCATCCTAAAACAAGAGAATTTTTAAATTAAAAAAAAAACAATTTCTAAATCCAGAATTTTTTTTTTTTACATCTATCTTAGTCCMTGGGATTGAGTACATGCCTTTAATGTTTAATAATAAGGAAATTAAAGATTTATTATGGGTTACTGGTCTCAAAGCAGTATCTCAAATACCCTGGAAATATAAAGTTTGCATCTTTATTCCTCCTCTTCCCTTGGGAATGGCAACAATGACCAYAGGGAAAGAATAAAGGCTGAAGTTCAAAGGTACTTGGTAAACTTGGGAACACAATTTAAATTAAGATTAACAACAACTAAAAGAAACAGAAAACCATRGACTAAGAGGTTATACTTTATTTGGGGGAGCTAACTTTTACATAATTTTTTACTATAATAAAATTTAAAAGGAATATCTCAGAAATGTGTACAAGGATCAGACAAAATATTTTTAAACACTACATTTCTCTCCCATTTCCTTCTTCCATATTCTTTCTTTTGTGATATCATAGACACATTAAACCTATCCGGGTTCTAGCACCATATTCTATGATGTAACACTACAGAATTAGTACACAAAAGAAAATAAGTGGAAAAGAATTACAAAAATAAAACCCAATGATTTAATAGATAACAAAACCCAGGATAATAATCACAATTATTTTCTTAAGAAGACATATAGTTTTGCTTTCTAAATAGGGCATACTGCAAAGAGTAATAGCTTAGTTTTTCTATTGAATTATGTCCCATCTTCCATGACAATGATTTAAACATACAATTGATTTTGTAATATTTTAATTGGGAATATATATTTTGTAACATTTTATCTCAAATTAAGTAAAATAAAATTTGAGAAAAACATACTAATTCATCTTCATCACTGACTGTTCTGTCTGAATAGTCCTCCTTTTCTGAATCTTCTGACATCTTTTCCAGTGTTAGGCTTGAAATTTATTACGTGGATAGGCTGTAAAACAATTTCTAAGAAACTTATTTGACAGATTTTTTTAAGCTGAAGRGTTTTTTTTTTACATTAAATGAGTACTAAAAATGCATTCAATTGTATTTAGTTAACAGTGACAAGATGCTAATTAAGCCTTTAACTTCAAAGATTTGAAGARACTTTCTACTACTATGAGAAACACAAAAATCACAATAAAAGACAAATCAGGTTAAAAATTTAATTAAAAAATCCAGAGTACACAGGAAATTCATTAACATTCTATATTTACAATTAAATGTTACATAGTGAAAATAGGTTCAGAATGATCGTGGARGCATTAAAATAAATAAAAATTACAGTTGCTTCTTCAGGCAGTGATATGTAGCAATACAGTTTTAAAAGGTTTTTTTCCTCCTTAATTTTCAGTTCAAGTGAAAATTCAAGTTCAAATGACAATACTTTTCTTTTTTATAATGTAATACTATTTAGTAGATACCGTCACTGTTCTAATAGTCAATTATATTATTACTGAAACCTCAATAGCTACCAGAAGGTTGTATTGATGACGACCATTATGTGCCTGTCCAAGTATTCTCCCACGTAGTTATCATTAAGACAATGAAATAATCGAAATTCCTTGCCAAGATTCTATAGATTAGGAGAGGAATTTACCAATTTCAAATCTATTGGCTTTTGCTCCTCTCTACAAACAGCGTGCTCTGGAACGTGGGCTGCCCAGAATAAGGTCCAAGGTCCATCTCAAAGAACCACAAATGCAATTGAGAAAACTGCGCACAGGCGACTCCTCTAGTATAGAGACTGCCAATTTACAAAACCGGACAGGCCACCTCTCGATTGATTCCGTGTCCTTACACGTGCATAGGAGGCTCACCACGCGCTGACCCGCAGTGGAGTAAAACCTTGGCGTCAGCAAAGCCCCAGCCGAGGTGTAAGGGGCGCTCCCACGTGTGCAGCAGAAGCCTGCGGGCCCGAGTCCGCCACAATACAGGGTGGCAGTCTCCCCAGCTCACTCCTGCAGGACGCTGCACAGTGCGGGGGAGCTCGTTTTCCGCCCGTGCTTCCGCAGGGGCGTCCGCCTCCAACCTTCCTTCCTTCTCTGCACTGCGTCCCGCCTCAGGCGGCCCCTCCTCACTCCCAGGTCTTCTGTCCCACTCGTGCTGGGAGACTATTTCGAGAACTCCTTGAAGCACCCGGGTCTGGAGGTAGCAGGAGCTCCACTGTCTTTTAGCAGCCTCAACTACTCCCAGGCCACTCGTTACCTAGGCAACGGCCCGCTCTCGCGAGACCACGTGCATCCTGCGGAATCACTTAGCAACCAGCGCAGCTGCGGTGAGCTGAGCCCAGGCTTCAGCGGAGAGATGGAGCCGCGGGGTTTGATGGGGCCTCAGGATAAAGTTGCTGGGCGGCCAGAGAAGTTGGGGGTAGGTTAGGACGTTGGGATCTATGGGAGGATTTAGGAAGGCAGTTAGTCTCTCCTGTTCTGCATACCAACTGGTTGTCAGGCCTTTACTCAGAGAAGGGGTAARGCATACTTGTTAAGATTTGTATTTTGGAGCTCATCTGATCTTAACAGCATGACGGTGGACAAGTTGATTTTTTGGACTAAACTTTCTCATCCTTTAAATGGATGCAATAATTGCAACTACTRCTTGGAGTTGTTAGAAGAGTAAATCGAATGTTGGTCTTTGCACGGTGAGTTCCATTCTGCCCAATTTTATTCTGAAAAATGAAAATTTTCTCCATAAGTGTTGATTTGGAGGAGTCATGAACATATTAGGATGAACTCTCAAAATTCTTATTAGCTTTGATATTCTTTAAATATAATAATCATTAGCTAACAAATTTACTGTCTTCTGGGGCATGGCAAATCACTCTATGTGTATTATCTCAACTAATTACATATGACCTTTCCATAACAGGCTTAATATTATTTGTGTACATATCATTTTGATTTTTCCCTTATCTTTAGCTCCAGTGGATAATTTAAATGTATTTGGAACAGTTTTCCAAGGATAGCTTAAAAAAAATAAAAGAATTACAGATATTTGGAGTCTTAATGGAGATTATAGCAGTTTGAAAGTAGAATAAAAGCAAAGCACTATGGTTTAAGCATGGAAATAGGCTTTTGTAAGTTTTTGAAAGTAAGGTTTTTTTAGATAAGCAACTTAGAAATTTGAACGTTCCACATTAGGCCCAGGCTTGAGAAAATAGATAAGCTCTTTTGAAAATAAGTCTTCATCATACCTAATTTTATGCCATGCAAACATCACTGAAGGTGACATGCACAGAGAATCTTTGCTATGGTTTGGATATAATTTGAATGTGTCCTGCAAAGCTCCATATATTGTAATTTAATCTCTGTTGTGAAGTTTTAAGAGGGTAAAAACAATCTATGGTGTTTAGAGGAGGGGCCTTTGGAAGGTGATTAGGATTAGATAGTTATCTGAGTGGAATCCCCATGATTGAATACTAGTGGCTTTGTAAGGAGAGGGGTGACAACCAGTATAGAAGTGTGTGTGTGCGTGCACACACACACACACACACACATATGTGATGCCCCATATCCCCTCAGGATGTTGTCAGCAAGAAGACCATCACCAGATGTGGTCCTTTGACCTTGTGCCTACAGAACCAGGACCCCAAATAAACCTGTTTGCTTTTAATGTACCCAGTCTGGTATTGTGCCAGTGGCAACAGAGAACGGATTAAAACAACCTTTAAGTGTTTCTTCTGTTGAATTTTACTATGGTTACAAGGTATAGAATGTTGGATGCACAAGATAAAGCTCCTAGGAAAGATCTAATCAGGTTATACAAGAAATAAATGGCAAAGCTAGGATTCAAGTCTCATTATTTTGAGTTCAAATATTTATAGGTCCAAATATGTCAAGTAATCCTTATAAAGGAAAATTATCTTAGTGCATAATAAAAATGCTTAGGAATTCAACAAAACTTTGAAAATCATACACCTTCATATTTCATGAATTCCACAAATCTTTATTGGATGTTCCCTGCATGTCAGGGACTGTGCCCAATGTAAGGCTACTGCAGGGAACAAAGCATTCTCCACAGGGATGCATTCTTGGGAGAGAAGTGTTGTGAATTACACAGGGTAGTACAGTTCAGCCAAAGCTTAGCTGGAGTTGGTATCACTTTAAAGAAATGATTTTTTTTTTCCTTATAAGTTAAGGTGGACTAGAGTCAACTTCCACCAAGGACTTTCTATCAGTCTGAGTTTTCCTTCTAGTTCCCTGTGATCTGAGAAAGTTACTGGTCAGACTCCTTGTATAGCTACATCTGCCTGCAGATTTACTTCTGCAGCAATTTTCCCTCTTCTGCTTTTTTGGTGAGATTACTACAAGACTGCAATCTAAAAGGCAATATTTTTTTAAAAAGTGGAATAAGAAAACAAAGGAGCAGACAACCAAAACCATACCCCAAAGGCCTAATCACTGGTGTGGGAATCAGGAGAAAGTTCATCTTAGCAATATGGTCAAATATAAGTTATGTTGGGAATATACTTTGTGTAATTATATCAATTTGAGTTTATTGAACAGACTTCAACTAGAATAAAGTCCTAAAGGGCAATTAGTTATTTATGACATCATAGAAGTTAGTGGTCATGGGGCCCTTGAGGTCTTACCACAGTTTGGTTGATGAAGTCATACTAGGGCTTGGGAACCCAGGAGTAGTCTGGTACCATTCTGGATCTTCCTCAGACCATCTGGGTGTTGGATGACAGTATCAGGCCAAACCTCTCAAACTGTCTCCAAGTTCCAATCAGGCCAGCAACTAACCAAGACTCAGCTCAAGARTAATTCCCATAAAGACACTTTTCCTAATCTCTCTATCATTAATAGAATTCATTTTATTTGGAGACTACAAAGAAGCAGTAATTCCCCTTAGCACTTGGTATGTCCCCTACCTGCTCAACAAACATCAGGCTAAATTAATTYAAAAGAGAACAAATGGTTCTCAGGCTCAGTGTGAAATCTCATGGCAAAAAAACAAACAAAAAAAAAACAAACATGGTCTTTCCTCCTCAGTAACTGTCCCTGAACTGTGCAGTGGTGATATTTTTTCTACCGAGGATATGTTGGCCAAATTTAATAATGTTTCAGCCTCTTTCAACTCCTAAAACAATTTTATTCTGGTATTTGGTATTTAGATTCAGTATTTAGTTCGTTTTGAACTTCCAATTTTAAACTTAATTCAAAGTTCCCCTTCTTCCAACTTCTCAGAGCAGCCTAGGTGTGTCCCTGCTCTGGCAATGCGGGAAATGGGAGGGAGGTTGGTGCTTTGCTATTTCCATCCATCCTGTCTTCCTTCTAGTTTCTAGCTCCTCGCTGTGTTAGGATGAGGATAGGCCAGGGAGCCCAAGGGGCGAGGTATCCTTAACTGGCCAAGTTACTGGCTGYATGGTTGGACTCACATCCTGTCCTATCTGTTAGCTTCACCAGGAAAGCAGTGGCTCTGACTTGACAGTGTCTTCAAGGCTCGCCCCTAGGCAATGATCCCTTGTGGCAGACGGGTGGGGAGATAAAGGGGGGTGGGGACAGGGTCYTTAAGAGCAGGAGCTCAGTAGCTGACAGCTGGGGTCAAATATTCTACCACTAAACGGTTGTATGACTACAGGGAAGTTTTTGAAGTTCTTTGTGCTTCCATTTAGTTACCGTAAAGTGGGGTGTTTTAGACAGCTTTTCCGCTGCTCTGATTAAAGGATCTGACCAGCACAACTGTAGGGGAGGAAGAGTTTATTGGAGGGCTCACAGTTTTAGAGGTCTTAGTCCTGAGAAGGCTGGCTCTGTTTCTTGGGGCTCGAGGTGAGGCTGAACATCATGGTGGGAGAGGGTGGTCGAGGAAAGCACCTCACATCATGGTGATCAAGAAGCACAGAGAGAGAGACTCCAGCTCCAGATGCAAAATATACACCCTATAGCCATGCCCCCCAATTAACCACTTCCTCCAGCCACACCCCACTTGCCTCYAGTTACCACTCAGTTAATCCTATCAAGGATTAATTCACTGATCCGGTTAAGACTCTCACAATCCAATCATTTCTCCTCTGAAACTTCCTGCATTGTCTCACATGTGAGTTTTTGGGGGACACCTCATATCCAAACCACAACAGTGGACATAATTGGGAATTGAGTAGTACCCAACTTGTTGGGTTGAGAAGATTAAATGAGTGAAAAACATGTAAAATTCAAAGCACTTACATATTTATTCATAACATGTGAAAGGGGTGGTCAGAGCCACCAATTTCCTCATGGCATCTGTAGTGGTTTCCAAAGTGTGTTCTCTGAGATGAGCAGCCTTAGTTAGCATCATGTGAAAATTTGTTAGGATGCAAATTCTAAAGCCCATTCCCAGACCTATGGAATCAGAAACTTTGGGGTGGAACAATGGATGTTTTAACAAGTTCCCCAGGTGATTTTGATGCACCCTAAGTTTTGAGAACTACTGAAACAGAGAATTAAAAGTGTTTACTGGGGAACCAGAATATTTAGCTTTGTGACTTTTGGCAGGTTATTTAACATCTCTGTGTCTTGGTTTCCTTGTAAAATGAGGATATAATGACGCCTACATGATAGTGTTGTTATGAGGATTATGTTGTTAGCATACATAAAGTGTTAAGTCATTTTAAGGGCTCTCATTCTGTTGTTTTCAGTGGGAATCTTTTAAGCATACATTCTTAGAAAGAGCACAGGCTGAGAGACAGAACTTGCTTCTTAAAATGTAGTCTCCAAAGCAGCAGCCACCACTGCAGCATCATCTGGAAACCCATTAGAAATGCAAAACCTCAGGCCTCATCCAGACCTACTATTTTTCTTTGGGTAGCAATACTCTTTGGGTAGCAAAGAGTTGACAATTCAACTCTAAATCTAATAAGAATCTGCTGGGAGTGGAACCTACATAACTAAAAAGGCCCATTATTGATGCCGATGTTCACCAAGGATGCAGAAGCCCTGCTGAACTCAGGACAACTGATTTCTATCATTTGACAAAAACTCCAAGCACCTATKTTACAAACGTTGACAGGCACAAGACAAAAGATGGCAGGTTTTATATAGAAGAGTGCTGGATCAGGTTGGAAACCAATTACACTAATCTTGTGTTCTATATGATTGTAGTCTTTTTGCAAAATCCTAGAATATTCTGTGAAGGTTCCTATCTGGGTAGAAGTGACCAGTTGARCCTTCTAAAATCTTATCTTGATGAAGCATTTTTTTTGAAATCATAGTTTAAGGTAGCCATTATCACTGAAAACATGGCTTGGCAAAATTCTGCTACTGAAACTGCACTAGAGTGAAGCAAGACGTCAATATTTGTGGAGCTGAGATACAGGGATGAGTTGATACATGAACGATGAATCTGGGATCACAAAATGTCATAAAACAAATTAACCTCTCAGAACTCTAGGAATTTTACTACAAAAATTGACAGTACATGTAATCAGAGTTTATAAATTGAATTCCTCATGAAACCATCCTCTTATCACTTATGCAGCCTGTTCATATGTACTGGCACTGGGTACACTGGGTTTTTGTGAGCATGTAAAAACCTATAAGGAAATATTTTTTCTTCAATTACTTCAGACTGAAGTATTCCTGTCCTCCATTTGACTGCTGATTATTATTTACTACATATTCTTTGACAATCATGTGTTACAGCTTTGTGATATTTTATCTCTTAGAATTCTTGAATCGCTACTCAGTGTTTTATAACTTTTCTTATCTTTATCATTTATTTCCTTGCTATAATGATATAGTTGTTCTCCAGAATCAAGGCAGGTGGAAATCTATGTGAAGACCAGATGACTTGAAGTTCACTCTTACTTTTAGGAAACAGCTCTTTGGAGACCCAATCATCTGGAAAGCCCTCATCTTTGGCAATTAGAAGATTTTTTATTCCCCTTTAGCTAAATCCCATTGCCAAAAGTAAAGCTTAGCCTCTCAAGCTGCCCGTTGTAGATCCTCAGGTGCTCTGAAGCAGGAGCAGCCCTGGCATAAATAAGAAAGAAAAGTAACAGTACARGAGGCACATGGCTAGGAAGCTATTTAAATGAAAAAGTTTCAGTAATTACACTAAAGATGAAAGGACGAAATACTCTAGCAGAAACTCAAAGATGATCATATTGAATTAAAACCCAAACCCCAAATACATGATTTTTAGCCACTCATCTAAAACTAAAGGATATACAAAAGTTGAAAGGAAATGGATGAATTTATATGATGGAAGTGCTATTGGAAAAAAAGATACAGTAGCAATATTCAGAATAAAAAAATAAGCTTTAAGGCAAACATCTTTGCTACAAAGAGATCACTTCATAATGATAAAATATTAAATCCACTAGGAAGATATAATGATTCTAGATTTCAATGTACCTAAATTTGCTTAAAGTATAGAAAGTAAAATTAACAGGATTATATGGGGGAAATAGACAAATTCATAATCATAATGGGAGATATTTTTCACATTCTTTTCTCAATAATAGAACAGAGGAAAAAGCAGAGAGGACATAGAATGTTTGGACAACATAATTAATAAACGTGACACAAATAGACATTATACGTGGATCCAGACCTTGTTAGTTTGTATTCTAACTCCCATGGAAGAACATATGCTTAGGATCATGAGATCTTTTTTCTTATTTCTTCTTCTAATTGTAGCACATGTGCAAGCAAGAGTAGGAAAAACCTACAATATCTACTGGTTTGCATTTCAAACAAGGAACTATTTAAGGTCATATCCTGAATATGTATATTATAAAGTTAATTTTCATTTGCCCCTAATCTTATCAATTTGTAGTAGTATTACAGATTGATTCTTTTACTGCTTAATTTTGTAAATTGATCTTGATGACAAATATCTTATCCAGACTTATCCTTCTTGTTAGGACATGGCAATGAAAATATTAGTGTATGTTTTTATGGTAACTTAATTTGCCAATCCTATTGATAGAATTTACGGAACTCTTCAGAGGCTCTGGACCCACAATTTAGAACTTTTGTGAGAACCTCAGATTTCGGATCAATTACTGCTACATTACTAGGCAAAATTGATAGGGAAAAATATATTTGGATTCCAATGTAATTCCCATAGCCCTGCAAGTGGTAAGTATTCATTAAATGAATGGTATGTTTCTATGCCCCTCTTAGAATCAGGAGGAGTGGTATGTGACTATACTGGGAATAAATAAGGAGGAGGATGAAGTCTGATAGATTTATTTTTAAGAAAAAATAAATAATCCCTGTTTCAACCTTTTCCATACATGTTTGGTCAGTTGTTCACATTAGAACAATTTTGAATATTTTATTAGAAAATTATCTCTAATAAAAAGCATTTAAGGGGCTGGAGATATACCTTAGTTGGTAGAATACTTGCCTCACTTACTCAAGGCCCTGGGTTCAATCCCCAGCACCACACACACACACACACACACACACACACACACAGCATTAAAAAATATGAAAATGCTTTTTTTTTTTCTTAAAAGACTGAAACCAACAGTCAAGGTGAAAGACAGGATTTGCCACGCCATCATCTTTATTTTAACAGGCACACCTCTTGCAATCAATATAGTATATAGAATTATGTGAGGCAAAAACATTTGGAGGAATTCCATTTATTGTGGATGCATTTTCACAATATATTTTTATTGCAGCGATCAATTATCAGTGAAAAATATCAAGTGTTTATAACATTTTAAAGAATGGCAGATTCACAGAACATGCTAGTCAGCTTGCAGTTTTATCTCTTAAAGATAACAGAGAACTGTAATTAAACAAGTCAACGATAAATTTGTTTTACCAAAGATTAAATTTAAACTGAACAAAAATTCTACCTTAAAACTTATTCCTTCCAAACATTGGAATAAAAGTCAGGATCAGTACATTCTTTTCTCAACTTTAGATTTTCTAGAAAATACATAGAATAGTGATCAGGAGAAGCTCTTGTTCAAAAGTTCAGCACAACAATGTTTCCTCACCACTGGCCTTAATTTAGATGTTGAACCATTTCACTCCAATGATGGAAATCCTCTACAGGGGAGTCTCATGGGAATTCTAGTTCATTTTATCGTAGACTTGTGTCTACTCTGTCATGGGTGGATGGCTTGTGCAATATTGGTGGCTTTCCTTCCTTTGGTCCAGGTTTGCTAAAAACTAGGGAATCCAACTAACCTTTCCTGATTTAGGAGGAAGATAGGCTTTGGAAGGCAGTGCTTACTCCACAAGCCAGCCCTCCCTGGCTAGCCTTTCTGGAGAAGTGGCTTATAACATAGTTATTTGGGATGCTCTCTCAGTATGGCAGGAATGGAGTCTAAGACAATTTTGGTTAAGTCAACTGAGGTATGAAATTAACCTGGTGAAGCTGTATGTATATGTCTATACTAGGACATTTTGCCAAGATACCGGTGTATCTTCTATCATCTATTATGAAGAGTAAAGACTTACATGCTAAAATAAGATCAGATATCTGGATTGTGTGTGTAAAAATGGTAAGTCAATAAGGACTCAGGGGAAAAATAATACTAGTAAAATTCACATATATTTTTGAAATTTTAGAACATTATCAACTTATGACAAGTATCAATGACCAACAAAGTAGAAAAGTTTAACTTGAAAAATATTTCAAAGTATATGAAGGTGGAGGTACTAGTATATGAAGGTGTCACTCCTAAATGCTAGATTTTACTCACTTTACTTCTCTGCTTCCCTTCCAGACATGAGCCAAAGTTCGTCTTTGTTTATATCTCTGTCTGGAATTCCAATCTGTGCAGTATTGTCATTGAAATTCTTGTCTTTAAATCTTAGCCAAGGAAGAGACCTTAGCTATCATGTTGGCCAACTTACCATGAACTTTAATGTTACAGGCTGAATTTGATTCAGACAGTAGATTTTGTAAAATTCACACTGGGCTTCAAAAATTGTCTTGAATTATAGACTAAATACTATGTATTATAGAAAATTTCAACTCCTTTTGACACTTCTAATCTTTCTTTTCARTACTTTCTTTTTTATAAGTCATCGGGCATTGAAAACATTTCCATACCTACCTGCCATGTTTCTGTTGGCAAATATGAAATATTAATATAATATTGTGTTTTTTTTAATTTTTAAAGAGCTGTGATATTTKCTAGTTACAAAGACATACTACTAAAAATAATAGTCTAGCACATGAAAAGCACTCTACTGTTAGTGTGTTTGTATACGTGTATGCATATACATACATACATACATAATCGGGTAATCTAAAATGTGGGTCAGGCTACTACACTATCAAAGAAATCCACAAAAGCAACCAACCTAAAAAAAATCAGTACCACTGTCAGCTAAAATAATAATCCAATTTAGATATGAATCAGCACGAAAAAAGTAATACCTTAACAGTACATCTTCTTTTTTAAAAAAGACATCATTATTGCAGAATTTTAAATYCGAAACAGGTTACTTTCAGAAACAGTTACCATGGCCTATGTAGATAATTTCTTCCATGCTTTATTCTAAAGTGCAGAAACAACATGACCTCTGTATTAACAACAACGACAACTATGGTTCCTTTTCCTAGATACTGCACACATTCCTCAGGCAACCTTAACCTCCTGTTGGTGACTCCAATGTGGTTGGTATCGCTGTTCAGACACGAGCAGTAGGAAAGTCTATTTCACAGCATGGGTTTCTTTAGAAACAGGCTCCTGTGCAAAGGCGGTACTTTTACCATGAACATCTCTAGATGTGATTATTAAATATAGTGATCATATACATTGGTTTACTGGGAAATTGAAAAACAAAAGAAAATAAACCCAATTTTGTAAATTGACATAAATATAAAACAGAGCAAGTAGCCCTCTACAACTGAGGTGGTCCGGCGTCTTGAGCTCTTGGGTTCTTTCTCGAACTGTCTCAAACCTGCTAAGAGAAGAGAACTTTAAATCGACAGCCCAGAGTATTTCAYCCAGATGGCTTATGGCAGAAGAAAAAAAAACATAGTGTGGCAGGAATAAATATTTATAAATGGGGGCTGGGGATGTGGCTCAGTGGTAGAGTGCTTCCCTAACATGTGTGAGGCACTGGGTTCAATTCTCAGCATCACATAAAAATAAATTAATAAAATAAAGGGATTGTGTCCCATTTACAACTAAAAGCCTAAACAAAAAATTATGAAAKGGAGAATTACTATTTACATTCTATTCAAATATGTCTTTTAGGCTACCCTTTTCTTCTGTTGATTCTTTTTTTCACTCTTCCTAGCTTTCTCCTGTATGTTCCTTTTTTCTATCTTGAACTTTGGCTTTGCTTGTGTCATTCAGAGTCCAGGAGGTTGTTTTAAGCTTCACTGAAAGGCCAGGAAATTCTAGGGGTGCAGAGGGGTGGGAGGAGAAGGGAGGTTTACATCCAGGATAGACACACAGGACCGGGCAGTCAGTCGGGCCCCAGTAACATACAACGAAGAAGCAGGGTACATTCATCTTTGGTTTTCTCCCATTTCCCCCCACTAGCAGTCTCTATATTCTCCCTGTTATTCTTATACCCAGGCCTTGTGCTTGACCCACAGTTCTATTCCTATTCTATTCCCCTTCCCTCTTATCTAGCTGCTAAAAATCCTTACKTGAGGTCCTAAAAGATATTAAGGTGTGGTGAATTTGCATTTTCGATGTGTTGTGCATTTTCATGACAAAGGAGGGTGGCATGACAGGTAGGTAGTGGGTTTGGCATTTTGGAGCAGAACAACCTAATCTACTGGTTCCTTATCTCAGCTCTGGGTCTGGTGGGCCTATTCATATTATTGCTGTAGAAGGAGTTCAGCAGCATAGACCAGGGATGAGGGAGTGGTGTGTGAAAACTGTCACCCTCCTACCTGGTCCCACCACATGGCACAGTTCCAGGGAGTGCCATTCAGGCTGGATTGCATATAAGTGGTGTTCTCTGAGTCCTGACACTCCAGGTCATCTTTATTCCACTTCCTAGAGCTCTGGCTAAGAGAAGTATGTCCAGAGGGATTCCACTGTACCTGTGATGACGGACTATGGACAGCTCAGAGAGGAGGATGTATAAACACTTGGACTGCCACTTCTGAAAGGTCAGTTATCTATGCTAGAAGGATCACGAAGTCTTAGGCCAATAAGTTCATCCTTTGTTTAAAAAAACAAACATTATTCTTCCTGTCTCCTGCCACCAATAAAACTATGGTATTTTACTCAGCAATAAAATCATGGCATTTTCAGGTAAATGGATGGCATTGGATAATGCTAGTGAAGTTAGCCAATTCCAAAAAAACAAATGCCGAATATTTTCTCTGATATAAGGAGGCTGACTCATAGTGGGGTAGGGAGGGGGAGCATGGGAGGAATAGATGAATTCTAGATAGGGCAGAGGGGTGGGAGGGGAAGGGAGCGGACAGAGGTTAAGAAGGATGGTGGAATGTGATAGACATCGTTATCCAAAGTACATGTATGAAGACATAAATTGGTGTCAATATACTTTATATACAACCAGAGATATGAAAAATTGTGCTGTATATGTGTAATAAGCATTGTAATGCATTCCGCTGTCATTTATTTTTTAAAACATTAATAAAAAAAGAAACTAATGTAAGAAAATTTAAAACTATACATTTCCTGCTGAATAAGAATACAGGCTCAGGTCAGCTTCACTAGCGATCCAGGTTTTGCTGCTTATTTCCTCTGTGCCTTTAGGAAAGTTACTTAACTTCTCAGTGCCTCATGGCTGGAGGATCAAATGGGATAATAACAGCACCTGGTGTAGGGTGGATGCTCCTTCACAGTGGTGTGTAGTGGTGATCATTCCTACCAGGTGCTTTTTATGTATTTAGCAATCATTTGGAAATCTGAACTTATTTAAATCATTTTAAGTAGAGAGGCTGGGCTAGTGGGATTTATTGGAATGAAGGAGCAATGTATAACCAATAGAGAAGATAAAGTAACATACCCAGGCAGCTGCACCAGACTTAAGAGGGTGTGGAAAATAGGAAAGGGAAAGTAATTCTCTCATTTCAGTGAATCCCAGTGGTTCTCTAGTTGCCTTTGATGTGTTCTTTGGCCTGAGTTTGCTTAAAAAGTGCTTCTGTCCCTAGATTTCTACGTCCACTAAGAAGCAGTCTAATCTTACTCCCTGTTGGTCTCTCTTTAATTTTTCCTCTATTAAAGGAGAAGACTGGATCTGTTTTTTGAAATGGAGAAGGGCTTCAGTTAGGAGTTGAATTAGCTCCTTGTATAACAAGGGGGCCCTATTTGTAGTCTGAGCATCCTTTAGATACTGTCCAGAGCCCCCTTTCTGAAGAATGAGCATTCCCTTTACCCGGAGGATGTCAAAAGTAAAAGAGGCATTCTAAGCATTCCTAGCCATTAATTTTCACAGGGTAGCACATTTTGCCTGACTTGTGAATATTATTTCAATTCATTGCCATGGCAACCTGGGGCCTGAGGCTGCTGGCAGTGTTTTCTAGAATGGCTCTAGAAAACAGGTCTGGATCTGTCTACTCAGGAAAACAGGCACTTCCCCCTAAGGATCTGCTTTCCCCAAATGACGGTGGCATCACACTGGGTCCTTGCAAAGATACGTAGACCCCTGTTATCCCATGTGCCCATCTCTGCTGATCTTCCTAAGTACAGCAATGGAACTGTGGGTCAATGATATTTCTCCTTTGACAAAATGTTATATGGCAGGGTTCATTAAGAAAATAAACCTCTAGAGGGATGGAGGGGAAGAGAGGGGGCAGGGGGTTAGCAAKGAKGGTGGAATGTGATGGACATCATTATCCAAAGTTCATGTATGAAGACATGAATTGGTGTGAACATACTTTATATATATATTTTCATACAGAGATATGAAAAATTGTGCTCTATATGTGTAATAAGAATTGTGATGCATTCTGCAGCCATGTAGTTAAAAAATAAAATCAATTAAAAAAAAGAAAGAAAAGAAACCTCTAAAATACCAGTCCTTCAGAGAGTTTACCTTAGTGGGGGAAGTGACCTTGTCCACAGATTGCTTTTCCCAGAGGTTCCGTTTGCCAGTTACGTCTCCTGGCCTCAAGTCCTAATGCAGAAAGAAGAGAAAGCAGAAGCCTTTGATAGGTAGCCATTTATATTTTCTGACCAGGTCTAAATCAATCACCACATCCATTGTCTTGTTTGGATTAATTTGTTGTTTAGTACACTTGACCCCAGTGAACTCAAGTGGATGGAATTAAAAGGATCATTCACTGTTATTTGATTTTATAAAGAGCTCAACCTGATTGATRGCATGAGAATGGGCTGGAATGACATACAGCATCTGGGTCCTTGTCCTTCACTAAAGATTTACTGTTTATCAAACAGTGAAATTAGAATATAAGCATATTCAAAATAATGTAGCCTACTTCTAACTTTCTATGAAAAGTGAATAGAGCATGGGTTATTTAAAAATAACTTATTTGGGGTTTAATCAGCATTTTTCCCCTTGTAGATTAACTTTCTTTCTTTGTACCCCACCACATCCCCAGCCCTTACTGCTTTAGTGCGTGACTTCTGGTTGCCAACACTGCACTTCTTTGCCTCAGACCTTTCTCTAGCTGTAGATGCCCACTTGCCTGCATAGTTCATATCCCAGGAGCATYTCTCAACCACTGACCAGTGAGCACAGGCACAAGAATGCTTCTCAGACCTCCTCATGCTCTGGGGTAGGAAGTCTTAGAGGCATGTGTTCTCCAGGGTTCCAGGGCTTCCCCAGCGAGATTCACTTTTAACAGCCCATTCAGTGACTTGCTTAATAACACAGTCCCTACTGTCTGCTTTCTTCTCCCCATCTCAATCCCTGTAGTATTTTCTTCACCTCCCAAATAAACCCCTTGCACTAGGATCACTGTCTTGGAGTCTAATAGCCCAGATAAAACCTTTTTCTAACTGTACTTTCCTCCCACCAAAAAACCTTTTGTGTTTCCTAGGGGCAAGTGGGTAATTCAGAAGAACCTAGCCCCACAAAAATAAATGTCTATTGCARATTGTACCCATAAGGGAAGTTGAGAGTCAATGACATATGTAAGTTCATGTGGGGATCTTGGGAAGGAAACACTAAAATATGATCTATAACAGCTATAGAGCTTTGAGCCTTTATTTACTGCCTCATAACTAATTTTGTTTGGATGAGGATCCAAAATTCTGTTTCCATTTACTTTTCTTCCAGCATCTGCTTATATTAGTACTTGGCAAAAGGTAGTTTGTAGAAAATAAATGTGTTTTACTGAAATAGTACTGCTTATTTTGGCAAACTCTTTTCTCATTTAAGAAGGCAAAGCTCACAGCAATTGCATTTATCCATGGACACCGGTCTAACTGAACATATTTCTAATACATAGCATTGAGATCTCAACACTGAAAATGCACTATTAAATGGTACCATGTGAAGCATTTCAGATTTGCCTTAATCTTATTGAATTTCTGGATTTCTGCTGTGGCATGAATTCCTGATATTCTATTAGAGTTATACTTATTTAACTTGGAAACATTAAGCAACAAATCAGGACTTTTTTTTTTTTTTAAGAATTTCACTACATTTGCCAATGTAGGTAAAAGTTGCCAAATTGTCTGGAAAACTGTTTTGAAATTTTGCAAAGTATAATTAGGAACGTGCTGATGGAAACTCGGAAAAGTGGCTGTTATCACATTATTTATTTGATTTGTGCGGAACAAATATTTTTCTTTCACATGAAGCTTCTTCTACCTGAGAAAATGGATTGCGTTTTCCTTAAATTCTGCCAGTGAATCTTTGGAGATTACTTAAAGAGTTTAAAGAGTCAGTTTTAAGAAACTATTAGCATCCTTAGATCAAAGGGGAAATATAAATGGAATTACCTGACCAGACTACATTTTAGAGAAAGACCCACTCCGGAAGAAGAGGGAGAAATGAAGGCAGGAGAGGCAGGTTTCCAATCAACCAGACCAAAGAGGGAAGAAGAGAAGCCAGCTGAGAAAGACACTGTTGGTGGTTGTGGTTTTTTTTAAACAAAAAGAAAGACAAATTAGCTTTTTAATTACTGTATAACATGCAGTTCAGACACAAAGAATAAGACAAACCAGCCAMAACAGACACTTAGAATTGAATTCCAGTTACAAAATGACACGGAAATCCTGTAAATTCTATGCACAAACAGCTTAAATGTCCCAGTAAGGAATCTGCTATAGGTCAATGTTTAATTTTATATAAATTAATTTTCAGGAATTCCAAATACTATTGAGTTGGCAAACTGTTCTGAGCACRTGTAATTCTTAAGATCTATGAAAATTATTACTTTTCTACTGGTAGACGATGTTTTTCTCTGCAGTGAGCTTAGAAGTCAACACTTTAATCCTACGATTTACTGTTTTCCTTCCTCTTGGCATTTCCCTGGATGAGGACCATTTGGTTCCATTAATTTCTCACTGGTTTAGTCCTAATGGCCACATATCTCTATGAAAGCACAAACCTAACTTTCTCCTCCCTCCATCCTACATCAAGGAATAGAAGCAATGAGCTGGCTGTAAACTGTCCCCTCTCCCAAATCAGAAGACAGCTTTATGACTCTCCTAATTGTCCTTGTTTTTAGGAATCTTTTGACATTCTGGGCTCAGGATCAGTCTGGCCTGAGTTCGAATGGTGTCAAACTCACAAGTTTTCCATGAAGGACCAAGGTGRAAACACCCAATGGCCAAAGAGGCTTGGCAGTAAGAAATTAAGGAAAAGAGGGAATCAACAACCTCARGAGTTCAGCTTTCTATGCTTCAAAGTATACTTTAAGAGTATACTTTAGGACAAAGTATACTCTTAAAAATGAAAATGCAGCACAATGGTGTGGGTCAAGCCACACAGATCTTAGCTGCAGGCCAACAGTGTGAGATCCTATGGATGAGACCAAGATCCTTGATTGAGCTGTTTTTCTAAACCACCTTTCTTGGATTTTTTTTTTTTTTTTGCCTGCCTATGTTTAGGCATCTGTAGGATTCTTCCAATGCTTCTCACACTGCCAAAACTTCACCCTTCTGTTGGACCAATAGTGTCTGGGCTACACATGTCTGCTGTACTGAACTCCAAGTCATATTCTCTCCCAGTGAGAATGCCCTGTTGCTATCCATTCCCTGACATGTTGCTGGGAGGCTAGGTCTAAAATATGGGTCACTACTACTACCACTGGAGCATGCATAAAGCTTAAAGTGGCTTAATAAGTACATAAGACCTAGTATTTTATTTACAACATGAGTTACATTTTGATTTCTTCCAATATGGTCCTTATTCAGGAAGCCACCTTGGTCCACAGAATCAAATGTGAAGAAAGAGATCACTAAAATCATAAGAACTGCCATATTTGTTTTTTTAACCTCTACCTTCCAGGAGGTGGTCTAGCAAATCACTTGMTAAATTGTAGGTAAAGCAGACATTGATTCCATAATTTCCCCATTCTGCCTTTTATTAGGAAGCCATTAGCCAACAATAATCCTAGAAAATCATTATTTAGTATGTGGGAACTTTGGCATAGTTATGCCAATTATAATAATAACTGAATTTAATCTTTTAAATCTTTCCATTAGAATGACATACAGATTATGATAAGACTATAGTTAAATTGCTGATAAACAAGTAGGGATCAAATTTCTGAGAACAAGTTGGTATAGGAACTAAATAGATCATAAATGCTATAAACCTGAAAAAAATTAGCACTTCCTCTATTAATGTGCCATACTCAAAGAGGAAAACATTATCTTTCCCTCCTTTTTCCTTTTCTATCTTGAGAGTTCTCTAGGGGGTCTATGAGCTTCTTGAACTTGTAGATGTTGTGTGGGAGAGGTTCCTTACATTTTATTAGGCTTTCAAATGGGTCCATAATTGAAAAAGTTTACTAGTCATTGGCCTGGAATCAGAAGCTTTGTACAAATTGTTATGGTTTGTTTTTTGAAATAATTTATACTCTGTAAGTTATGGGTACTTGGAAACTTAAGGCACTAAAGAGCAAATACTTTTGAGATATGTTTTCTTGTCTCCACTATATCTTTTTACAGGTCCTCCTCTCCTATATCTAGCTGTGTTGGTCAATATGTAAAGATTTTCCAATTGAAAATTGCGTTTACACTGTTTATGCTTCTTGTGAATCTTCAGGCAAAGCCGTCTTGGGTTGAATAGTAATTAATAGCCTCAAGGAATTGTACTAAGAAGGATATGCAGCTGGTCGTGGTGGCACAAGCCTGCAATCCCAGAAGCTCTGGAAGCTGAGGCAGGAGGATTGTGAGTTCAAGGCCAGCCGCAGCAACTTAGGTCCTAAGCAACTTAGTGAGACCCTGTCTCTAAGTGTTAAAAAAAAAAAATGTTAAAGCTTTGGGGATGTAGTTCCCCTAGATTCAATCTCCAGTTCCAAAAAACAAAAAACAAAAAAATTTAAAAATAAAAATAAAAAAAACAAACATGTCCTTTTTTTTTTAATTGGAAAATTATAGAATTTAAATTTAGTGACTTTAGAGATTATATGTGGAGTGGACAGATACAATTAAATGCTATTGTGGCTCAACACCAGAGACCTGGTATTTAGAAAGTTTCTCTTCTCCTTCTAGAATGTATATGTATATGTATTTATGTCGATCAACTCTGCTTCCTTGGGTACCAACAAAGGTATACAGCCAACCTAACAGAATGCTCAGCAATACACAATAGGGTATTTATATGTAAGGCACTTACCATACACACTCAATGAAGGTTAAAATAAAAATTTTTAAGTAATATAGCTACACTTGATAAATGAGAAAATTTTAGATTTTTAAAAACAACATTCATGGGCTGGGAATGTGGCTCAAGGTAGCACGCTCGCCTGGCATGCGTGCGGCCCAGGTTTGATCCTCAGCACCACATACAAACAAAGATGTTGTGTCCGCCAAAAACAAAAAAATAAATATTAAAAAATTCTCTCTCTCTCTTTAAAACAACAACAACAACAACACTCATAATCAGTTTTTCTAGTTGCTAAATTTACTGGTTATGGGAAAAATGGCCCCAAGTTATCTAATTTCCAATTTTTTATGGTTTTCCTTTGCAGGTACTGATAATAAAATGATAGCAATTATTTCAACAACCACCCAAGAACTGCATTTTTATGCCAAGTTATAGAAACTAGGTAAATTAGAAAATATGGGTTCAAAAAGGCCAAAATACATTCTTTTGGGAATCGGGTAGAAGTCTTCATAACAGAGAAGCAGCCAAAGTAATTTGACATTTTGTTTTCAAATTCCTATCTGTAGTTTATAGAATAGAAGCTAAACAATAGACCAGTGAAGGGTCTAAGTTTGAACTGCTCTACATTCTGGCTAAGTCCTCCTCTTGGGGTGGAGAGGTGATAATATGGCTCCATTGACCCTCTGGGTGATCACGGTAAGGCTGCTGGGGACTGTCCTCCAGATGCACACCTCCTTGCTTGACACTCAGCAGACAGCAGAAGCGCCTTCTTTCCTAAATCAACAGACCAACTGCCCGTTTGCTGCTGCTGCTGGAAGCCGAGATCACAGAAACTCAGAAAAACCTGCAGCTACTTACAGAAGGTTTGGGAGCAGGTGACTTGTTCCCATCCGGGGTTTTAGTTAGCCATTCATTGATGCGGCTGGAGACTCCCACCTTCAGGCCAGCAGTTTCCTAGTATCAATCATCCAAAATATTAAATTAAAAAGTAAACTTAATCTGGGAAGGGATCTTGAAAGCAACCCCTAAGTACCATTAAGTATTATTTTACAGAACCATAAACCTAAATGATATTGATACTAAAGGAATATCTTCTTTTCTTTCTTGTGTACCTCACGCCATCCCAACCCAAAGAGTTAGCAAGTGACCTCAGGCATTTTACTTAGAGGTCTGTGGCCAGGTCTAGTACACAGGATCRTTTCCTGAGTACATTTGCCCTAAACTTGCTTTTATGGTCATTTCAAAACAAAGTACAAATTGCACCTTTACCAGTGCTTTTATTACCAACTAGTGTGACTTCTAAAACAAAATGAGGGGAAAAAATCCACTCCTCTAAACTTAAAAGACAAAAACCACACGCTTACCTTATTTGGTGTGCCTGATGCAGTCGGGGAGGAGAACACATTCCCTTTCTCCCACATGCTCTTGATATTGCGTACCCCTTCAGCAGGAACAGGAAGATCAGAGGCTGCTGGCTTGATAGGTTTTGCAGTTTTTGTTCCCTGAAATGGGTGAATTATCTTTAGGACYGGTGCTGAGAAGTTTGTCCTTGTAAAATTATAGAAAGCTGATCTTTCTCAACAGGATCATTCAAAAATTTCATTGTGTATACACCTTCACCAAAAATAAGTCATAATTTCTGTTGTAAAAGTGTACTCTGGGCTGATTCCATGGTAGTGGGTTATCAGAACTTAGTGTTACTAAAGTTGATATACAACTCCCCACTGCTAAATTTGACTGGCTTAAAAAAATTAAAACAAAAACAAAACTGTACTCTGAAGATATATAGCTCCCAAAATAAACTGTAAGAGCTTTCAGAAATGAAATATGCTTTCTAATGGGGTGTTATTTATTTTTAAGGTAATATCTAACTTTTTAAATTCAGTAGATACATTTTAAATCCTTACTATGGGCAGGCAACTTTGCTAGGTTCTGAATAAAAGAGGGTATTCAAGTATGCTTGAAAGGTGGGCAAAAGTCTGCTCTATAAGCTACAGTGGGTTTAGGTTTCAATAGAAAGATGGTAACTAGTTACAAGTGTTTCTTTCACATTGTGGAAAGTTCAATGAGAAATAATAAGTATTATAAAGCCTGGCAAAAGGGGACAGAATACTGAACATGGTATGTTTGGGGGCATAAACAGAATACTCTGACCTGGCAAATGACTCAGAAGTAATAAAGGGAACAAGAGGAACAAATTCTGTTCTATGCCAAGGTAACAGCATGTGCAAATATTCTGGAGCAGGGAAGTGCTTCAAGACTAAAAGACTGAGATATTTTAGCATGATGAATACACTGGAAGGAGGAAAGAATGGATGTAAGTAAGGGAGATATGCATTTGAGATACTTTTCCTCTGGTCTTGCTCTGTGGCCTGTGGTCAAGATGGTCAACTATAATAAGTGGCACCCCTAGGGGCCATGTCTTAAAAAATAATTTTGCCAGTCTCTGCAAAGTCTGAAGTCTGTCTCGATTTCATTAGACTTAATAGTGCCAAGACCAACTGAACCACAGAAAATTGCTGTCTGAAATTTGCCTTATATTTAGTGGACATTAATCTTATGAGTAAAAATCACATCTCGAGTGTTAGGACTTGATTATTATTGATTATTATAATTTGACAAACCAGAGCTCTCCATTTCTTATTTCCTCTTATCATTTGTTTGCAAACTATCTTATAGGCATCTCCATTCAAGGGTACAAAGAAGATGAGAAAAAACAAACTAATATAATTACTTCATTGCAGACACTCTGATTCAGAAGGAGGCTAAAAGCATTGACTGAAGTCTACATAAGGAGAACAAACTAGAGACGTACCTTAGTCAATGAGACCTGTCCTCTGAGTGTCATTAGAAATACACATTATTTCCAAATACAGTAAAACCTCCAGGTCAATCAGATTCAAGTAAGATAGAACCTACAAAACTATTTTCCTTCAAACTTGAGTTGTCTATAATCTTTACATTAATTTATACTATTATTTATTTAATAGTAAGACATTTTATAAATAAAAGAGGATTAAGCAAAATTGTAAGGAACCTAGTTAAATATAAGAATATATTGCATAAAGAATTGAGGATAGCGAAGACACACCTGTGAACATGTACACAATATAGTTAACTACCAATAAACTCATTCATTAAAAGAATAACACTCAGAACATACAGGCTGAAAGTAGTGAGCAGTAATCTATTTAAAACTTCTGTAACTATTATATTTTATAACTTTATTTACATTTTATATTTATCTTTTATTACTGTATTTCTCCATAACTTGTGCAAAGTACAGTAAAACATCATGAACACCTCAGTGGCTCCTGGATTTCTTTATTCTGAGTGAATAAAGGGCATCAGAGCCTATTTCTGTTCAACAGCACCACAACAAAAATACCAATACCTCCTGTTAATATTGGAGGCCAATTCTCACCTCAATTGCACTTGTGTATTGCTCCAGTCTGCTGTCTATCTTGGAGACTACTGCAGCTTGATGAGTTGTTTTGACCCCACTGCTAAATAAATAAACGCATGCATAAAAATATGAGAGAAAATAAGTGTGATGGTGTACACCTGTAATGCCAGTGATTCAGGAGGCTTCAGCAGGAGGATTGCAAGTTCAAGGCCAGCCTTAGCAATGTAGCAAGACCCTCAACTACTTAGTGGCACTCTGACCCAAGACAAAAACAAAAAATAAGAACTGGGGATGTGGCTCAGTGGTAAAGCACTCCTGGATTCAATCCCATCTCTCTCTTTCTCTCTCTCTCTCTCTCACTCACACACACACACACACACACACCACTATATATATATATGTCGATATATATATTCGATTTATCTAATTAGATCCACCAAACTTCATTCATGGGATAGAAGAATATTTCCATGTATATAATAGCTAGTTATTCCCAATTGAACCATATTTACCTTTTCTGCACAGACTTATTCAAAAATTCTGCTCGTTCTTCTATCTAGGAATTGAAAAAGAAAATAAATACTGTTAATATTTTTAGCCCATGCTACTATTGTTCTTGAACCTGGTGAATAAAAATACCAAAGAATGTATAAAAGGTATTAGGACAATATTGCAGCAGCTCAGCTGGGCAAAATACAAATAAAGCATTTGATGGAGATTTGGGAGGTGAAGGTAGGATTGGCAAAGGATAGTTAAAATAAGTAGAGAAATACAAAGTGTGGGAAGCAAGTTAAGAATCAGATGATAAAAGTGCTTCTAAAATATTATAATGACTGTCAAATTAATCACTCATACGTTMAAATCCAAACTCCCATGTGGTGGCATTTGGAAGTGAGGCTCTTTGGAAGTCATTAGGTCATGAAGTTGGAGCCCTAAGGAATGGGATCGGTGCCCTTATAAGGGAAGACATGAGAGCCTGCTTACTCCGTCTGTTCTTTGGCCATCTGTAAAGAAGGAAGAGAGCTTCACCAGAACCCAACAATGCTGGCATCGATCTCAAAAATCCCAGCCTCGAAACTGTGAGAAATAAATGTTTGTTTTTTGAGCCACTCACTCTATAGTAATTTTCTAGTCTAAACTGATTGAGATGAGGGACATTCAACCACATCAGCCTAGGGTAGGTAACTATCGTCCAGGTGGTTCTGAGGCTGACCTGGACAGGGTAGAACATAAAAACTTTTCAGCACATGTGTGCTTTGGAACAGGCAGTCATACATCAAGAGATCTGTACTATTTGCTAATATGGATGGACAATGTGTAGCAGAGAATATCTCCAGTCTGGAGTTGGGTACCACATGGAGTCAACAAATATTTATTGATTTATAAAGAATGTATGAATTTAAGTGATAAAGTTTCAGTGACGTACAATGTTGATTTAGTAGCAAAAAGAAGTTTGTAGTTTAAAAAGAAAGAAAGACCACTGAACGGCCCATCTAGCATATATAAACCAGTTTATGGAGTTTTGTTATGGCAATCTGAGCAGACTAAGAGACAAGGACTCATTCTTTTAAGAAGCATACAAATTTAGTAGGGAAGAATATAAAGCACATAAACAGAATGTTAAAAAACCAATGGTAGGTACCCTATTAAAGATAAGAACAAAATGGTATGTCTAAGGCAAGCAAGTATCTGGGGGGAGTTGGAGAAGGCTTCTCAGTAGTTTGATACTTTCAGTTTGTAGTTTTCACAGTTTCATGATTGAATTTATGAAAGTGAGAATGGAAGTGCAGGTTCGAGGGGAAAGGACAGTTTTAACAAAGAAATTCATGTTCAAGGAGTTGGGGCAGGTGGGGAGGTGGAACTGAAGAGCTCATGGTGGTGGCAGAGCTGAGACTGGAGCATCCTTCTCACTTTGGCCATCACAGTTATTCACATCCAAGGTGCTCAGAATCCCCCCTCCTGTTTCTGGAATAGCTTATCCAGCTTGACTCATTGTGTTTTGTTGGGACTCACCATCCTATGGATGCCCTCTTGTTGGGAAAATGCCCTAACTTAATGGCTGAAAGGAATGAAACAATTTGTATGGAATTTGTCAATTCAATGTTCTATTGAATGTCCCACCAGTTAACCAGGGAAATTTCTCTAAAGACCACGAGATGGCAGTGTTGTCTTGAGAAGAGATTATATAGAGACCATCAAAGTTTAGAAAATTGATACTATTCCATGCTATCAATACATGAAAACAGTAATAATTATACAAACCTCTAAATTAATTTAAAGTTTATTCTTTGCTTGTTTTACATATAAAAATTACTCACTGCTAACATAGTTTAACAATGAGAGACCAGTTTCTGAGCTTCTCAGATAACAGAAGTCATGAGAAATTAACAAAATACATTTTTTGATAATATTTAATAATATCAAATATTTTATATTATTTGATAATATCAAATAGCAATGTGCCTGACCCTGTTATGAAGAAATTAATAAATGTCTTGATCTTTTTTTTTTTTTAAACATCTTCTCTAATTGATTGCTTACACATGCTTCTTTACCAGAGGGAATTGATAAAGGGATTTGGGGAGGGCTAGATGAAATGGAAARCCAGGTGTGGGGTTGAGGGAAAGACCAGGAATAAGGAAGTCGAGGCATTTGGCCAACAGGAGCTAATCAAAGAAGAGAGACAAGAGTTGTAGTTTCTCTGGAAAACAGGGTAGCATCTGGAAGCCTATAGAACCACTGGTTTCTTCACGTTATCAAGACTATTCAGGGAAAGCTCAGCTGGAGTGGGATCTTAAAGAAAGTAGAAAGACAGAGTATGGCTTTTCTCCTTGGTTGAGCCAGGAACAAAAGACCGAGACTGGGAGCAGGTTGGACTCTGGGGACTGTACAGACAGAGATAGGCAGAACTGATGAAGTTATTTACTTTCTCCTTTTTCTTCTAGAGCCTGGCCTGCAATCCAGGGCCCGTTCGCCCAGTGGGAATAATGCAGTCTGTGTTTTTTGCCTAGCTCTCAAGATAAGAATAATTTTTTACATTGTTAAATGCAAAAAATCCAAAGAAGAATGATATTTTTACCATAAGAAAACTATGAAATTCAAATTTCAGTGCTGATAAATAAAGCTGTCTACCACATGAAGCCTCTCTCTACTCCTTCTGCTTTGCTGAGGTCTCAATGATTAGCATTTGGTTCCCTCTGCAATTCTTGAATTGTTTCCTGTGAGTCAGTCAGTCCACGTTAGCTTCACAGGGCCTGCAACTTGCTTCATACTGTTCTTTCTCAATGGTGTACAGCACACATGAGGTATATGACAAATACCAAGTACTAAATAACAAAATTCCTCTGTGGCTTAATTAGGATTTTTCCCTGAAACAGACCTCAAGATGAAGGTTCCAATACAAATATTGTTATGTATTTCTTAAAGTAAGGGATACACTCTGAGAAATGTGCTGTCATTAGTTGATTTCATTGTTATGTGAACATAATAGAGTATACTTACAAAAACAAGACRGCTATGATGTAAGTAGGTGATATAATTTTATGGGACCACCACTGAACATCCAGTCTATTATTGGCCAAAATGTCATGGTATGTTGCATGATTATGGTCAATTTGGGACCYAGATGGACAAGGAACCAGACCATCATAAAGACTAAGTGAAGTTATTTGAAGATAAAATATTCTGATTTTCATCTGAAGAAGTAATAGCTATAAAATGTAACTAACTGGTTTTCATCGTTTTTGAGTGCTACATCACATGATCTCATCGAACACCCTCAACCACTGGAGCCTGGCTATAATTGTATGCTGTCTTTGCTTCTTATTGATACTTTGTAACCTAGCTAGGCTGATGGAAAATGAGGATAGAATAAAAATGTAAAATTTTCACTCAAGATTCATTCATTCTTTGATCTATTCCTTTAACAAATATTTATTAGTATCTTCATTATGCAAGGCACTGTGCTAGGTGCTCAATTAAATGTTAACCCTCAAAGCAAAAGATACATGACATTGATTATAAGCAACAGATAGTGCTTTCCTGAGTCTGCTGTCCTTTTCCCTACATCAACCATTCCATCATCTCCCTGGCTCAGCTCCTTCCCTTCTCTAGGAAGCACTTCTGTCACACAGAAACTCCGCTCCATGAGGGCAAGAGTAGGACCAAACTCGTTCTGGCAAAGGACCGTATCCAAGTCACTTTTCATCTCTTCCCATGATAACAGCTCTGAAATGTGAAAGGTAGCCCTTCTTTTAAAGATGATGAAGCCAGTGTGCAAAGCAGTATAAGCCCTTTTCAAGTTTCAAATGCTCTAAAAGCTCATTTTATAAAGTTTAAATGTTCCATTTTCAATCGCTCAAAGCAATGAGGTACACAGAGAATGGATCAATGAAATTGAGAATCATCAAATGTCATCTCAATGTATATCAAAGTGCCACATTAACAACAGATACAAATCTCACCTCTTTCTTTCCTTTGCAAATGTTATAAACAAGAGAAGCTATGAAATAGCTGAAAAAGAGGGGGACTGTGCTCGAGATCCTCCAAATTTCGTATGTGGAGCTCTAATCCCCAGTGTGCTGSTGTTGCAAGGCAGGGAAGTAGCCAGGTCATGAGGATGAGCCCTCACAAATGGGATTAGTGCTCACAAGAGATGGAGGGGGCACCACTGGCCCTCCTTTCCGTTCCACCCTGTGAGAAGGCAATGAGAAGTCGCCATCTGGGAGGCCCAGGCCTTCGCCAGCTGCCGAATCTACTGGCACCTTGACCTGGACTTGCCAGTTTCCAGAACTGCGAGCCAGACATTTCTGTTGTTCATAAATTACTCAGTCCAAGGCCTCTTACAGCAGTCTGAACAGAAGGATGGCAAAGAGAAATGAAGCAGAGGAAGGCCTTCATGATCCATGACTACACGGGGGCCTAGAGCCAGGTTCTGTTGGAAGAGGAATACTATACGAAGGTTTTGTAGGGGAGAGAAATACCTTGAGAGATGAGCCTTTAGGAGTGAAGCACTTGAAGGGCTTCTTGTCGTCTGACAAGCCATCTTCGGGCATCTTCTGGCGTTTCTCAGCAGCTTCTGCCCTTCGCCTCTCAATCTCCTCCTTTAGCCTCCTCTTCTCTTCCTAAGACAGAACAAATAACAAGGACTTCAGGACCGGCTTCAGGGGAAGGGGAAGAGTGTTCTGGGAGAAAGAACGCCAGCCAAGGCAACAGACTCCCCCTCCAGTAACTGTGTGTCCTTTGCCATGTTATTTATCTGCTATATGTTTCAGTTTCTTCATCTGAAAAATAGAGAGGATTCCTAGTAGACACTAAACATCTGCTACTTAAAATGTGGAGATTAATGCTCAGTATGGTCGATTCCCTTAATGGGATGCATTAGCCTTWCTATCCTATAAGTCATTTAATACCGACTCTTCATTTCTGTATAAGTGCAACAAACACAAATATCCTTCCCATCTATTTCCTAGAAGATTTGTTAAAAACAAGAACATATATGCAAAAATTTAATAAATCCATGGTACTATGTTAACCAAATTGCACAAGAGATGGTTTTAGGGTTGCCCCTGGCCTCAACTGAATACATTTACATTTTAGCCCTCTCAATTTAGTTATTGATTATGCATTATTTTAGATGGTTTGACAAAACCAAAATGATGTCCATATTGAGACTTAGTGGTGAAATTACAGATGTTTATAACCTGACTCATGAACCCCTCTATGCCTCTATTCCTGGCCTAGAACACTCAGTTCTGTCCTTTATCAGGCAAAAAATTCAGAGCTCTGATCAAGTTGCCTGTCTTGTGTGAATGATTTCTTGAGGGATTTAGGCAGTCTTTTGTCRTTTTCAAACCATGAAATCATTATCACTGGTATTCTCAAGCACAGACTGATGTCCATCTAGCAGAGGATGTTACAGAAGGATCCAGTGCTTTGCTTTGGTAGAACTTTAGACTAAAATAACCCTCCAAGTGTAATCCAGTTCTAAGAGGTCATGACTTCCCTTTGTTTTCCTGATCCTCTCCTCTTCTAAGCAACATAGTAATAATGGTAAGAATAATGATAACTACCACTTTGGGGGTTCCTATTTGGGGCCAGGCACTGTGAAGACAATGATCTATTTAGTCATCAGGAAAAACTTGCCAAGTAGATATTATTTCACAGATAAAACAAGACAGAGTCGTCTAGCAATTCTCCCAAGGTCCCAGCTTCTTAGGTGGCAGAGTTAGGATACAAGTTCAGGTATGTCTGATGATAAAACTCTACCATCACAAATACTTTCCAATCAAAGTTTCTTGACTTATTCGAAGTTGACCTTGGAACGTTTTATCCAAACTTTTCACATAGTTTAGGAAAACTATGTGAATAGAATTCATGTCAGAAAGTCATTGAAATATTTTCTGCATATTTTGAAGGATGAGAGATCATTATCTCAAAAAGTTCTAGGCTTAAGAGTTGAAAAAGTAGGATCCCAGCTACGGCTGATTCTACCACTTATCAGTCAAGAATCTTCAAAGAAGTCACTCAAACTATTTGGTTCCTGATTTCTTTGTTCATAAAATGGGAACATACCCCAGGATCAAAAGAAAGAATGTATTTTGTAAACTGTAGCAATATAAATTGTAGCTGGGTAAGCATTTTTTCATATGTTGAGCTAAAGTTTTCTTCATTGCAACTTTAACTGTTATTTCTGTCTAAAGGATGGAACCAATTCATCTGTTCATAATGACAGGGCTCTTGTAGTAGTATCAGGCACTGTACTGGGTCCTGGGTACACTACAAAAACTTTTCAAGTATTAGGAAACAACTATCATGTAACTTAATCCTTGTACCTAGTTTGCATCTGAGTTTTCTCCCTGTTCCTTATTGAGAAGCAAATAGGACAAGGGGCTGATTAGAAGGCACATGGGACTTGGAGAAAAATTACAAAAATTGTGCCTCAGTTTCCTGATCTGAAAAATGGGGATTGGTACCCACAAGATAGAGTTCTTAGGAGAACTGGCTAAATTCTACAGGTTTGAGCCCACGCCCTGCGCACAGCGAGGCCGATTGCGCACTTGAACCCGGGCCAGCTCCTACCTCCTCTCTGGCCTTGCGGTCGGCTTCCTCCTGCTTCCTCTTCTGCTCTTCCTCCTCCAGGACCTTCCTTCGCTCCTCTCTCTTTTTCTTCAGCTCCTCCAGCTCCAAGGCCGCCTCCTGCTGCTTCTGTTTGAGCTTTTCGAACTCTTCGCTCTCGGTCTCCCCGCGCCGGCGGCGGAGCTCCTCCAGCCTCTTGCCGGCTTCCACCTGCGGCGCGCCCTCGGCTTCCCCGACGGCCCGCGCTCCGGGGCGGCTGGGGCTGCAGGGGACGGAGCGGGGTTAAGGCTCCAGCCCTGCAGCCTCCGCGGAAGGAGCGGCGTCTGCAGGCTGTGCACCCCAGGCCAGATCTCCACGCCCATCATTTTTAGACCCTGGATCCCCACTCCAGAGTGTAGGAGGGGTCTGCCAGGAACGGCGAGGGCTTAGCCAGGGCCCCTAATGCGCCACTTCTCCTTGACTTCCTCAGCTGCAGGGTGGGAGCAAATCTGTATTGCTGGTGGGAGGGTAAAGTGGTGCAGTTGCTATGGAATACAGTACCGGGGTTCCTCAAAATATTAAAACTAGGATACCCTATGTATACATTCAGAGGAACTGACAGCAGGGACTTGAGATGGTACATCCCTGCTCAGAGCAGCATTATTCACAAGAGCCAAGAAAGGGAAGCCACTCAATGGAGAAGCAAAATGTGGTATATCTATTTGGTGGGATATTATTCAGCCTTTAAAAGGAAAGAAAATTCTGATACACTTTTCAACAGGATGAACTTGAGGACATTATGCGAAATGAAATATGCCAGTTATAAATATCATGTGGTTCTACTTCTATAAAGGATCTAAAATAAGCAAATTAATAGAAATAGAAAAAAGAAGAGTGGTTACCTGGGACTAGGAGGAAAGGGGAAAGAGGAGGTGTTTAAAGGGCATAGAGTTTAGGTTCAGCAAGAGGAAATGATTTTGGAGATCTATACTGAGATTATACTTAATGTTAAATATCAGATTGCACACTTAACAGGGGCTAAAATGGCAAAAATTTTTTACTACAATTAAAAATACACGACCCGGGGCTGGGGATGTGGCTCAAGTGGTGCATGCTTGCCTGGCATGCATGCAACCTGGGTTTGATCTTCAGCACCACATACAAACAAAGATGTTGTGTCCGCCGAAAACTAAAAAATAAAGATTAAAAATTCTCTCTCTCTCAAAAAAAAAAAATACATGACCTATTCTATAGCATGAAAAAAATGGGGAAATACATTGATTCTGTTGCCTCAGTGGGCTACTCTTTGGGTCCCATGGGATTATTATTCATTTACTATTTAAATGTTAATTTATCCACTGTTATAAATATTAGTTGTTCCTAGAAAGGAAGGCCTGAACTCCATGACTATTAGAATAAGTTTGAAATTTAGGAGTGGCTTAAATAAATTACCGGTAACCTTGGATCTGCCTGGAATCACAGATCAAGAGAGAGGACAGAAGAGTTCAGGAACCAGAGACAGGAAAAAATGGTTGAACTCAGGGTTGGCACTGAAGCAAATACATCCACCTAWGTACAGCTCTGCCTGGAGCATGCTGAAGCGGCTTTCTGGCAGATGAATTGACCCATTGTCTCTTGATTGAGCTAAATATAATAATACATGTCTATTTTTACAGAGCTGCTCCAAGAAAATTCTTAATGGCATACATTTCCCTGTGGCTTCAATTTGTGTATTTTCTACCCTCTTTGACCTCAATACAACTGTAATATTCCTTAACAGGATTTAGCTCTGATATGAAATGGTTAGAGTGGTTTCTTAAATGTCATTTATAACAAATTTATAAACCCTTTTCTTGTTCAGTATCTTATTTAACAGTCACAATAAATGGAAAGTTGGCAGGTTAGGTTTATTATCCCTAATATATGAATAAGTGCGTCATAGATGAAAGAGAAAATGATTTACCCACCCAAAGGTTTGGTAGCTAAAATTTGTTAAGCCATGACTGAATTCTAATATTTCTCTACCAATTATACTCTATTTTTCACTCTACTATAATTATACCTGAGGTTAAATTTGATCTGTTATAAAATGATGAATCAGCTGAAATAGAACAAGTTCGTCTCCTCTACCTCTCACTTGGTACTTTGGGGACAGTCTGTGAGTGATGTGTCCTATCTCAGAGTCTCTAGAATTTCTAGTCCAAACCTACCCACCTTCCATATCTGAGTCAAACAATGCTTTATCAGACAGCTCAGCTTATAAAACAGGAAGAAGATGGGACTGAAACTGATGCTTGAATTTTCCTTTGGAACTAAGGAGGACCCACAGGAATTTCATGACAGAACTGGAAACATGTTAAGGCTAAAGATAGATTGCTATCCTGAATCCTGTGTGAAAGTTTAATTCAGAACTAGCATTCTTTTTTAAAAAAAATATTTTTATTAATTGTTGATGAATTTTTTTTTTTTTTTTTACCTATTTGTATGTGGTGCTGAGAATCGAACTCAGGGCATCACACATGCTAGGCAAACGCTCTACAGCTGAGCCACAACCCCAGCCCCCAGAACTAGCATTCTTAATATTTTACAAGGATCACAGGAAAAGATGGAACAACATCATGGTCAACTACTGACTCTGAGCTCCTTTAATAAATTTGCTCTGTTAACAGAGTTGGACTACTGCTGACTTTGGCACATGTTAGTACTCACAGGAGAACTTCCATGAAACACTCTGTTTTCACTAAAGCAGAATCCACATAGATTGGATTCTGTTGGGACTTTATTTAGGAGAATTTATCAGTGAGCTTAAAGGGGCTTGTTACAGGTACTCTTAATTGAAAGACAAGGATGTTGCATGTCTGCTATTTAAACTCTAATTAACAAATATTAAGAAGATCTAGACGTAGGTAGCCATCCCTGATAACTTTGTCTAAGGAACAAAAGAATCACCACTATCTAATATCATTTATTCTGTGTAAAGGGTGGCACAAATGAAGGGAAGGGAGAGGGATGGAAATAGGAAAGACAGTAGAATGAATCAGACATAACTTTCCTGTGTTCATATATGAATATGCGACCAGTGTAATTCCACATCGTGTACAACTACAAGAATGGGATCCTAATTAGAATAAGTTATTCTCAATGTATGTATAATATGTCAAAATACACACTACTGTCATATGTATCTAAAAAGAACAAATAAAAAAGAATAAAAGGAGTGGCACAGTACTTCTAGCTATGGAGCAAGAGGACAAATAAAAAACAAATGGGTTAAAGGTACACATTATACAATATTGATCTTATTTTGTGCACCTCATATTTTTAAACACTGAGGTAGTTCTGACTCTATCATGGCCTCAGAATGTTTTCCTATCTGCAGATCAAAAGATCAATTTAGTAGTTTGTAACTGGCATTTTAAAAATGGAAGAGAAAATATCAGAGTACATGGCACGGAGAAAAAAAGCACCATTTCTTGACAGACTTGTTTCAGTTATAAATATACACGTGTGTAGTGGGTCATGCTTCAAAATTTGTTCTTTACTATGGACGGAGGTGAAAAAGTTTAAAAATATTATTCTAGTTTCTTGACTGTTAAAGATAAACTCTTTTATTTTGAATTCAAACAAGTTTAGAGGGTCTTTTAAACTTAACTTTGCTCTTTCAGAGTCTTACAGATTCACAGGCCTGCGAGGCCTCTTTCAGTTCATTAAGGTCTTTCCATCTCTGCTTAGAAACTCTCTCCTAACCATCTTACTATGCAGGGGCTGGACTAGGCAACGTGCCTAATAGAAACGTCTCTGGGTACCACTAGGTGGCGCTCAGTCTTCATTTTGGACAATCAAAAGGTCCATCATTGGGGACTAATTAAGTAAGTCATAATGCCTCATCCAGTGAACTCTTAACACCACAAATGTACGTTCATACTTTTTGGTATAGAAAGCTAGCTATACTACATTGTTTTGTAAGGTGCAAGACTCATTTAAAACATATATTTATAATTATATTCACATGTAGACATATGTGGGTCTGTAGTACATATGTGTGTCTATCTTGAGTGCTATATACATAGAAAATATCTGGAAAAATGCTACTGATAATCAGGGAAAAAAACTTTGATTCTCACCTTAAAAAAAAGAAAACCAAAACAAACCCTGGTCAAAAGAAGAGCAAGACTTTGGCCACTTCATCTCTACCTATGTGTGCTGTAGGCTCTCAGCAGGGAAAGGTCTTCCATAATGTTCTCTCTCCTATCTTTGGCTTCTTTAGGTTTAACTCAGCATGAACATGAGGCCTTTGGCCACTGGGAACACGGCTTGTTTTCATTTAAGTGAAGAGAGATGAAGCTTTTACTACCTTCCTTGCTTCTCATTTTATACAATGTGGAGCAAAACCAGGCTTCTCTGCTTCTGTTAGCATCACCTCCTAGCTGGCATGAAAGCTTGTGGACAATGGTAGATGAGCAAACAAGAATAACATGAGGACAATCTGTTCCCTTAGTTTTTTTTTTTTTTTTTGTCTGCCCAAAGAAGGAAAATCTAAGGTCTGAGTCACATTCAAGCATTCTTAACGCTTGTTGCCATCTCTTGTGACTTTTCTTCTCTTTGAATTATCCAGCTCTTTAGATCTCCACACAATAGGCATGCTAATTATTAATTTGGGCTTTGACTGAAGCTCCTGGGCAAGTTTGCTAAAGGTTAACCAAACTTCTTTCTAGAGACAAGATTTTTTTTGAACATTGTTTCCCTTGACAAAAATAAACCTGGTCCCTTAAGAAAAAACTTTTACTTATAAAACATATTTTAAACAATCAAGTAATAAAAATATAATGATATTAAGTCATAGTCATGGCTTTTCATGAGTCTGACACTCCAGTAGCACTTTAAACCATTAAACTACAGCTTGTGCGGTAAGTTTTGGATTCAATTTACCAGCGTGAATCAACTTGCTTTGTAGGTTTTCTATGAATTTCCAATAACTTAATTGTCACATTGACTCCCTTCTCAGTTCCAAGTAGTGTCATAAAGTTTATCTTTCTTTTTCCCTCCTAGTTGTCTTTAGGTCTTTTATGCATACCTTTATCCTGAGTGTTCTAGGCTCATAAATGTAACGAGGTTTCTACTCAGACTGTTAAATAGAAAGTGTTCCGGGGGCGCTTAGGTTTATACATCTTAGCCTCTTAGCTGAGCCTGGAATGTCCATTGCTAGTAGTCTAACCCTTCTGAATGTTACAAAGGCTTTGATGTAAGAAGCAAGTCTAACTTGTACATAATACCTCCTTGGTGATTTTCTTATTTGAAGTGCTCAGAAAAGCAAGGTCTACAGGTAGGCTGCTGCCAAAGACCAGCCACATGGAAATCCCCAAACTCTTTTGCAGCACATCTGGCCTGGCAGCCAGGGATATAACAGAGGTTGGTATTTGGCACAAGTGGTAGGAGGAATGAGTGTGTGATGGGGCAGAGAATCTCTGCACCTGAGTCCTTCTACAAAACTGATGGACGTATCTGTGTTTACCTGTACCAAAGAAGTGAGGGTTCACCTGCATATATGGGTCTGTTCTGTCCTATAATTCAATTGCCTGGATTTTCAATATGATAGGGAGGCAATGTGTGAGGAGAGGGAACGTGAAGCTATACCAGACTTTTCCAGACTGTTTGAAATGGAGCAGCAGTTCCATGCCCTCGCCCTCTCTCTTAGAGATTCCCAAAGCAAATGAACATTCAGGGATTTGACAATGTGACTTAGTTTCCCAAGTATTTGTCTATAAAACAATCTGAGCTTTATGTGACATTTAAACCCTTAAAAAATGAATTCATGAAAATGGTACTGAGAAGGGTCTTTTATGAAGATGTCCAGACCACATAGAGAATGGACCAATGATATTAACCCCGGCCACAATATTTTTTAACAGACTGATGTCACATGAGCATTTTAGGTCAGTGAACAGGAACATGGTTGCCAAGCATGATCTGCCTTGCAAAAAAAAAAAAAGGAAAAGCAGACTAAGCCTGGTTGAGCAATGACTGCTGGTCTCCCATTGGTGACTCGACAGACAGACCTGCTGACTGTGTATCTCTAAGACAATGGTCAATGACTTTGTAACCAAAGAATGTTGCCTGTTTAGCACGTTTCTGTCTGGAGGCACAGGACAGGGAGACTGGTTATTTTTCCCCCCCACACGTGAACACAGTCATTGTTAACTTAGTCACTACCTCTTACCTGAAAGTATTCTCAGTATGTTTAAGTTTGTGGGTCATGAATTCTCCATTCTGTGACTTCACTTCTGTAAATCCCTTCTTTCGATCCAAGAAGCTCTTAACTTCTTCTTTGGGCTCTTTGTCTTTTTTAATCTTCTCATCTTTGATCTAACAAAAAGTACATATTAGGAAGAAACATAACAATGAGAATCTTACTAGGTTTTGGTTGTTATTACCAAAGAAGACCCAACATTTTTAGGAAGCCAGCAAACTCAGAAGCAGAACCACCACCTGGGGAATGGTGTAGTAGAATTGAGGTCAGAGGACATTTTTGGAGAGTGAGCTGTGGTCTTTTAGCCTGTAGGCAAAGACTTTGACCATAAGGAAGTAAATATCATCCTTGATCTCACCGGGGTTTTTATTTTGGAGACCAGTGGGGATATGCTGTTTGGAAACCATTAAGTTCTGGGAACTCCACGTAAGAGTAGTTGTCTGTGGTTCCCACTGGGAGGTTGGTGTGGTTTTGATGGAAGAATGGTCAGGTTGCTTGGCCAGGTTTCTTCTGGGATGGACAGTGAATCTCTGACAAGGACACAGGTGAGGAGGAAAGAAGAGAAGATCTACCAAGCCAATTCTGGAGAACACCACCCTTGTAATTTATTCTAATGAGTAACTGGGTACCAAGGATGGAACACATAGGAACCCACCTTGAGTGTGAGGGCATAAGAGACATATGACACCATGTTTGTAGTTGTGGAAACCACTAAAGTTAGAGGTGGAACTCGAATAATTCCAGGTTTCACCTTGACTTCTGTTGCTAAGAAAAATTCAGTCCTCTGGAATTCGTTTTGTGATGGTTGCGAGAGACGTTATTTCAAAGTAAACTGAATTTACGTAGCTTTTATTAGGTAGGGGGCAAAAGAACTCAAACCACGGCTACATCACCTCACTCATTCTTAAAATATAAGCGTGAAGCCAGGTGAAGTTCATTATTGTTTTTACAAGTGAAGAGTCACAGAGCTCTAATGCTTTAACGAATCCTCCAGAGGAAGGGGAGACCATGGGAACTTGTGCTTCTTCTCTTCACACCTGGCCTCCCACACCTGTTTCCAACTATTCTTCAACACCCTCTGAACATCTACTCCTAAAAGACTCGTTTTGCAAAGCAGAGTACATTTTTTTTTTCCTGCTCTGAATTTCAACAGACCTTTGTTGGATTATCTTCTTTGAGTGTGATTTCTTAAATTGCCAGGGGTGGACGATTCACTATGAGATTGCCCTAATTAGCTAAGACTTTAATCTTTCTCCAAGAGGGATGTAATAGGATGTCCCTTGGCAATGCCAAAGAGGGGAACTGGGGTGTTGAGCACTCTCGGGGGATTTCTGTGCAATTCAAGGGACCTGATTTGGATCCCAGTGCTGCTAACAACCTAATTGTATTACTTGAACAAGGCTCTGGGATGCTGGTCCCAGGTATGTGAAAAGAGAGGGTTGTATGAGATCTTCCTAATCTTTCACCCTATCTTTTTCCTCTTGGCTCCTGATTAGTCTTGAGAGGCTACAGCAGAAGGACACTACTTGATGATGGCTGTTTGGTGGCTGTCCTTGCCAAACAATAAATCAGTGTTCACTGAAAAGGCAGGAGTAGGCAGAACATTTTCTCATCCTGGCCTACCATTGTTAGAGCCCCAGAGAGCAGGGACTAAAGCTTAGACCCTGGTTAAGAAGTATCTAGGGGACACACCTACAATCCCAGCAGCTCCAGAGGCTAAGGCAAAAGGATCCCAAGCTCAAAGCCAGCCTCAGCAAAAGTGAGGCACAAAGCAACTCAATGAGACCTTGTCTCTAAATAAAATACAAAATAGGGCTGGGGATGTGACTCAGTGGTCAAGTGCCCCTGAGTTCAATCCCTGGTATCAAAAATAAACAAACAAACAAAAGTATCTAGGGGAACAGATTTAGAATTTAGGGGTACTCTTCAGGGATACCCTGTGAGTCAAATCTCACGGTTTGTGGAGCACTATGGAGAAATTTCTTTAAATTCATTTCTCTTATTTTTCAGTGAGAAATATTTCCATTCTCTCAAAATATATTTATCAGATTTACTGACCAAAAGGGTGTTTAAAATAAATTTGTAAAACAATTGATATCAAAGACAAGAAAAAGGCCTTCCTCCATGTTTTCAAGCTCTGCCTTTATTGGCAAAGATTATGTTATGCTTATATTCTCCTTCGAAAACTTTTTAAGAAACATTCTCAATGTAATAACAATAATTTGATTTTGGACATTATTTTCCAAATGAATAAAGTAACTCTAAAAATCCTGTAAATCTTATTTTAAGGAATACAGTGAATTGGATTCTATGACAGTTGTGGCACTAGCCCAGGGGATTCTGAGCCCCTTGGTAAGATAATTAGATTTTCTAGGTTGGAATGTTTCCATGAAAAACCTCTGGGCTGAAGGGATTGCTGGGTCACCTAGTGTCCTGAAGGAGATAGTGTGCTTTGTACACAGATAACAGTAGTGTACTTGGAAGAAAGGCTCTGACCAAATGTGATCATGGGGACAAAACTCTGAATCTTTGGGATATCCAACCAGTGGGATAAAACACGGGTGTGCAGGGTTGGGGAATTTGTGGCATGCCCTTGTGCCAGAGAGATACTCAAAAGGTCCAAGGAGCAAGCAGAAAGGGATTATAACATATTGCTTTGAATGATTTGATATCAGAGTAGCCCCAAGAGCTGAAGGCAAGTTAGAATTTTTCAGTTCAGGTTTAATATGTTTTTGTTAGTTTTAGAAGCCCTAAGACCTTTTCTATCCCATGGATGTCCTCTGGACTCCTAGTTACTGCAAGTTTGGTCCGAAGACAACATGGTCCCTCCAGGGAGCTTAGACTCCACCCCAGAGCCCCTAAATCGACTGTGCATTTAACACGATTCCTGGGTGATGGATCTGTCTGCACATTGGGAGGTGTGGGCCCGGATGTTTGGATGTCTGCTACTGCTAGAAACTTTGTTTCTAGGTTGGAGCCCAGAAACAACTAGCTCATTAGTGAGGAATTAGCTCCTTGTAATTGGAGAGAAAGAGCTAAATTAAGTTGTAGGGTTGTCCATCATCTGCACCCCACTGCCACCACAAGCAGAGTTAAACTGCAGCGGAGGCAGACAGGGGGTTTTATTGTTTGCTTTTGTTTTGTAGGGCATTGGAGTGACTTCTGGAAATGTCTTCGCTGGGAAAGCTCCTGTGATGTTTGTGTTTACTTGTGGCTGATCCATCTGTGTATGCCACCTAGATGCCTGCCACCAAAGGGTTCAGCTTGTCTTTGTGTGATTTCTTTTAAAATTAAAAAGAATAGGGGGCTGGGGACATAGCTCATTTGGTAGATGCTTGCCTCCCATGCACAAGGCTCTGGGTTCAATCCCCAGCATCACAAAAAAAAAAAAAAAAAAAAAAAAAAAAAAAAAAAAAAAAAAAAACAGAATAGGAAGAGATTGTTTCAATGGCTGGATCAGGTAAAATGATTTCAAGTCGCCTCTGTAAAGCAGCCACAAAATGAGCTAGAAAGGAAAACCCTGTCACTTAACCAGCAGTTTCTCTTTATAGTGTTAAAACATGAGTACAGTTGTTGTTGTTTTTAAAAAGCCAGGTTGAGGAGCTTATCTGACTTTATACAAAAAAAGAAGCCAAAGCTTCAAGACACTGGAATGTGCTGTGGGGAAGACTGGGAAAGAGGCAGCCTGAAACTATTCCCTGGAGTATCTTACTGATACTGTAGACATTGCTGAACTGGGACCTTATAGGAAGGATGGAAAAGGATGATTTTTATTCACCTCTGATGAGCCCTTTCTAGCTCAGGGACACCCTATGTAGGCCCAGAATGCTTTGGTCATTAAAAACAAATCACATCATGGTGCACTGAATTAAACTTTACATAAAGGATCTCAATGGTGGTTTCTGCGCCTCCCTTCCCCTTTGTGTTGAGTCAATTAACAGGTTAATGACTCAGGCCCGCTTGCTTCTGGGAGTTAAAAGTATTTACCATGAAACTGCAGCTCTGCAGAAGATCTCCTGTGGGACATTTCTATTTGAGTTTATTGCTGAGGGTTTTTTTTTTTTTTTGTAGATGAATTTGTAAGTGTTGTCACTAAATGAGAAATCTTTTCCCTTCGTGTTCAACTGTTTTCTGAGCTGCCTTGTTAGAGCTAAGTTCAGTTTCCCTATTAGCATTTACACTCTCTTCTTCCTTTAGATGGGCAGTGCTCACGTTCAGTGTTCACTCCTGCAAACCATCACAACATCTGTTAGAAACACAGGGGGACATAGATCTTAAAGTAAATATAATATGTGACATCAACTAAGGACTCTTATATTTTATATGAATCTTATAAAACTTATTTAACAACCCACTCCCTATTTATTTATTCCGATCATCTATTTTCTTAATTTGAATTTCCCTTCTGTTTGAGTTTTCTTAACAGATGCCATAACAGGTTGAGAAAAGAGTGAGAGAACACTTGAGTTGGCACTCAGTGGCTACAAATCACTTTATCAGTCTCACGGGCAAAGCCATTCGGTTCTTTTTGCCTTGGATGATTCAGTTTTACCCCATTCAAATACTTTTAACTATTACTTATAGTCACAGTTTATAGGGTTATTTGGGTCTAACCTAAGCTCAGTGGTTAAAATGAGGTCAGGCTTTCCATGGTGGCACACTGATTGCTGGGCCCTGTGACATTCTGTCTGACTCAGGCTCATTACTTACCTACCTTCCGACACCCAGCACCTGCTCTGGTGTGTGCCTCAGAAATGCAATGCAGAACATTTTGCCAAAATTTTCTTTTGAAAACAAAAAAACATCCTCAGTTCACCAAATTTTCTACCGAGATGTGTGTGGGGAGGTGTTTTCCCTTGGAAAAGTCAAAGCATTAATCAAGGCCAGTTGGGAATATCTCACGATTGAAATGCAAGTAGAATGGATCAAGGGAGGGGGGGAATTAGCACTTAGAAGGGTAGAAAGCAGGAAAGACCGATTGGGGCAGTGTTTTCCAAGCCTTTTTGGCTATGACCCACAGTAAGAAAGACAATTTCTAAAACAATGCAATACTTACTACCCATGATGCCTTCTGATACCTTCTATCCTTTTCGTTTTTTAAAATGCTGATTAACTAATTTTGAGATGTTCTAAGCTGATCTCATGGATCACGAGCTGTGGCTTGAAAAACACCGGGTTAGAGGTTAGAATCCTGAGAATCATGGGAACTGAGAGACCCTGGAACACTGCTCTCTGCTGCATTAGGAGCAGATCACTTCTCCATAATATTTACCTCTCCTTTTTTGAAGGTAGGCTTGTCTTCTTGGGACTTTTGCCTTTGAGCTTGCCCTTTTGTTCCCTTTTCTTCTTCCTTTTCATTTTCAAGAATGGTTAAGGTCACTCGTGTAAAAGAAGCCCCTTTCTAGCTTGCAAAGGTGAGAGGGTGCACACATCACTCAGCAGGTGCTGTGGGACAGCTTCCTTGGCTGTCTTAGTGGGTGCTTACACCCCTTGGTGTCAGTGATTCTATATAGCAATGTGGGATACTTTCTTCCCACTCAATTTCTCTAATGTGCCTTCTAATTGTGCTCACTGGAATCTAGCGTGACATGGTGCTCTCCTCGTGTGTGTTTACAAACCTTGTGTGTGTGGCTGGGTGCGCTTTGTTTATGATCTTCTCAATTATAGCCATGTGCATGAGCCCCTTGTAGAGAAGCAGGAGTGAAAAGACAACTGCAGGCAGTGCTGAGTTGGTGACTGAGAGGTCGCTCTGGAAAGGTGCACATGCAAGCATCTCTTTTTTCCCTGTGGTTTGGGGAACAGTGGTGGTGCTTAGGGACAGTACTTGAATGCAGCCTTGCAGAAAGCAAAAAGTTTTTGCAGTTTGCAAACATTCTTCCCACCTCCATTATTCCCATCCTTCCTCAGGTTCACATGAATTCGTGTCACCTAGAAGGTCAAAGGAGCAAAATGTGTGCTCTTAATTTCCCACCAGTTACTGATACTACCTTGCTTTCTGCAAGCTCACATTAAGCTCAGGTCTACATGATGGCAAATCAGAGTTTTGAGGTGTATTTTTTTTTTCCCACAAAAGGTTCCAAATGGCTCCCTCAGGCTTTAAGTTTGCCTTCTTAGGATGAAATGTCTGACCATAATGCTTCATGTGAATTCCCCACGCTTAAGTTTATATAATCATTTAATATCGAACCTACATGTGAGATGAGGAGTGTTGGGTCTCTTGCCTCATGTAGACCTACAGATACAGGAAAGATTCAAAAGGAATGAGTTCAGATGCAGGTGCCGAAACAGCAACCACCACATTCATCATCCTTGGGTTCCTTCATTTTTTTTTTTTTCGGTATTCATAACAACCAAGCACAGAGCAATTGATTTCTCTCTGACTGTCCCATGGACTGCACAGTTAGCTTGCAATCATTTGCTTCATGCTTGTGCATTGCTATGACCTGAAAAAAAAAAAAATGACTAGCTTGCCAACTGTTTGAGCATGTGGGGCTGTGTGTGCGTGGCCTCAGTCCCAAATTTGATGTGCATTACATTTCTCGTAAGTCACAGGCATCACACACCGGGTGCAAAATGCTCACTGTACCTGTTTCTTTGGGACAGCTGTCTGAGGTTTATCTTCAGGCACTTTCTTTTCATTGACCCTCTTCCCTTCTCTTTTCTCTTCTGCTTTCTCCCCTCTCATCTTTGTCTCTTGCATTTCATTCCTCTTCTCCTCTAGCTGCTTTTTTCGCTTTTGCTCTTCTATCCTAGCCTTCGCCTCCTCCTCTGCCTGGGCCCTCTGCCTCTCCTCGGCCGCCCTTCTCTCCTCGGCCGCCCTTTTCTCCTCGGCCGCCCTTCTCTCCTCCTCCTTTACCCTCTCCCTCTCCTCCGCCTCCCTCCTCTCTCTTTCTTCTGCTGCTATTCTTGCTTGCTCCTCCGCTATCTGTCTTTCTTGCTCGGCTTTCATTCTTTCTCTTTCTTCTGCTTCCACCCTCAGCCTCTCTGCCTCGGCTCTTTGCCTTTCTTCCTCTTCCATCTTTTCATTATGAGAAGCCTCCTCTGAGCCTCCTTCCCTCTCCTCCACTTGAGCCTCTTCTGCATCCAGGTCCCCGTTTTTCAGGGCCGGTACCACTGTCTCCTCCTGGGTTTCTGCTGTGCTCTCTGCCACCCGCGCCTCTACCTGATTTTCTCCACCGCTCTCTTGCTTTGGCTTCTCTTCCTCCTCCTCCTCCTTTTCCTTTTCGTCTTTCTTCTTGTCCTCGGCATCCCTCCAGTCATTCTTCTGGTAGGACTTGGTGACGATTTCCGTCTCCTCTATCTCGTATCTCTCTTGGCGACKTTCTCTTTTCCCTTCCTTCTCCGCAGTCTCGTTTTCAGCTGTGTCATTTTGCATTCTTCCGCTGGGGAGGGACAGGCTGGCATCTGCKATGGTTGGGTCGAACTCCTTCTGCCGCTCCAGGGCTTCCTGAAGGCGTTTCTGGCGTCTCTCTTCTCTCCGGGCCAGACGCTCCAGGAGGGCAGCCTCATCATCGCCCTCCACCTGAGTGTTGGTGGTGGTTGGCTTGGACTCCTCGTCGGGGACACTGTGCAACACAGAGAACAACACCAAAGGCAACTTGCTCCGATTAATCTGTGATCTGCATTCATATAGCCAGTGCCCCCCGGGATTAGAGCGGATGTMAGTAGTACCCTTGGATGTCACCACTTCAGTACATACACACCTGCCTGATTTTCAACTGACAGCATGTGTAATTCTTTGCTCAGGTCAGTGGAGTCTACTCCCCATGCTAAAAGTGCCGTGGATGTTTGCCAATCAAGGATTGGATTTCTTACTCTCTCCTCTTGTGCCTAGGCAGCCCATGTGACCATAGTTGCCAATGAAATATGAGCAAAAGTGATGTGTCCAAACTAAAGCAATTAAGAAAGAAGCAGAGGTCCATTCTCTGTCCTTTCKATCTCTGACTGTTGGCTGGGTCAGAAGACTCCAAATCCCTAGGGATTGACAGAGTCATAAAAGGAAGGAAGATGGTGACCAGGACAGAAATACCCAAACTGGACTTACGTATTATATTAAGCTACTAAAATGTGGGGGCTCATTGTCAAAGTAGCAGCATTAYCCCGACTAACATATAGACTATCTACCTTCTTTGTCAAGATTTCCAAGAAAAAAGGGTTTCTTGTCCTTCTTCTCCACAGTGAATAAAAGGCAGTTATAGTTAATGTTTTCTTAAAAAGGGAAAAATCTCTAAAACCCAAACTGTACAATGTTCATCATCTCACTCACTCTTGGAAGATGCTGGTCACTGCCCAATCCAAGGGTGTTGGTCTCCACTGGCAGGAGACAATCAGTCATGTAATACCAGAACTGTGACCAGAGTTGGAAGCGAATGCCTTACAATGTTTAGAAACTCCATCAAATTTCATGGTTCATAGGAAACTTGGCCCTTTTGATGTTCAAGTTCACTTAACTTTGGAAAAACATATTTCATATTTAACAACAAAATATGGCAGAGTAAACCCTAGATTTCAAACTTTCTTGGCCTTTGCTGTTGCTGTAGGACAATGTCCACATGAATTAGATATATAAGGACTAACTGTCCATGGAAATACAAAGAATTCAGAACTTACAGGGAAACGCCTAATATAAGGCATTTGAATCAACTGAATTCTAATAATTTTAAGAAGCTACCCCAAATTCCAAAATGTTAACCAGATGAAAATAAGAAGTTAAGAAACCAACAGACTGTTAAAACTTATCTTTGTATTTATACAAGGATTGACAGTGATCATCAGTAGATGTCAAGGGAGAGAGCCATTTATTTCCAAGAAGACTTATTTTTCTTAGGTTAATGAATATGTTAGAGATAAGTCACATATTCTCAGACCTGAATATGCTTTCCCTTAAAAAAAGAAAGAAGCAAAGAGCTAGGCATGGGGGTCCCTGTAATAACAGCTACCCAGGAGACTGAGACAGGACGGTCACAAGTTGAAGGCCAGCCTCAGCAATTTAGTGAGAAATTGTCTCAAAATAAAAATAAAAAGAGCTGGGGACATGACTCCGAAGTAGAGAACCCCTGAGTTCAATCCCCAGTACTGAAAMAAAAAGTTTGACATTATTCTTAGGGGAAAGGTATAACTTCTATTTCTATTTCTATTCAGGTGAAGAAACAGTTTACAAAGCATCTATTTGGGATTCAAAGGCAGTTAGTGAGCCCTGGACATCATACCTGTGTTCCCCTTTGCTGGACTTCCTCCCTAATTACATTGGAGCTGCTCATCAAGGGTCAAGGTCTCTACTTTTCTAGTTTGCCAATAAGTTTCCTTATTGAATTGACTCTGCCTACGAGCATTTGCAAGATGACCTTAGAAATCTGATGGAACTGTTTGAATGTAAGCCCCAAAAGTCATGACCCTTTCCCTTCATAATCATCTGAATAGGCTGAATTAAAGGAGCTATCCACAGCTCCCTCCAAACATCGACAAAATAAAACATGCATGCAAAACAAAACCACATGCAAGACCTTATAATAAGGTTTCATTTATTTAAGCAGTTCACAGTTTTAAATTAAAATGATTTTTTTCTCCAAATATCCTTTATATTTTCTAGACCTTGGTGCAAATAAATGACATATAATAACCAYTAACAAAATGAACCATGTGATCCTATTTCTATTATAAAAGCCCTATTTTTAATTWTTTTAGTTGTAGATAGACACAATATCTTTATTTTAATTATTTATTTTTATGTGATCCTGAGGCTCAAACCCAGTGTCTCACATGTGCTAGGCAAGGGCTCTACCACTGAGCCCCAACCCCAGCCCCATAAAAGCCCTGTTTGAAGAAGTTGAACCTATTAGGTATTCTCAACTCTAATTTCTACCAGGGCCTGAGTAGGAAAAAATTCTAATAGTAAACGTGTTAAACAAGTTTAAACAGTCACAATAAATTAATCATCTCTCTAAATACTACAGAAAATATTGGTTTGGGCTTTATGCTAAGAAAAGGAAGACATCTGCAATTCATACCTACTTTTAAAATTCAAGAGTCATCTATTATTGGTAGGCACATAGTCTCTATTAAAACTAGTTGATCTTTAGTTCAAAAAAGACAGCAATATGCTACAAAGGAATATACTTATTTAAAAGTATAATCCATTGTACTTAGTAAATTTTTAAAATACCAGATTATGAAACAAAATAAAAGCCTTCACTGTGGGTACGTTTAGGGATGGGAATGAAGTGTGTGTGTGTGTGTGTGTGTGTGTGTGTGTGTGTGTAGGGAATGAAGGTGTCCTAATGTCTAGATCAGACTGACTGTCCAACCTGATCTTTGGCCAAATCAAGAGAGATTGAAAAAGGGTTGAGCTGGGCTGAAAAGGAATGCCTTGCTTTCCTTTCTCAGGTAATTTTAGTTCAACAACCAGACTAAGATGCAATGAGAAATTCTCCATTCAAAGAGGGCAGTACCTGTTCTGGGTGTGAACCTCCACCTGGTCGGTCACCTGTCCCAAGGATTCTTCCTCTTGCTTCTGCCGCAGCCTTTCTTGTCGGGCTCGCCGGCGACGTTCCCGCGCTGCCTCTTCTTCGTCATCGTCGTTCCTCTGATAGGCAATTCTGGAACATCACAAAGACAAGCTCTTGAGCAAGGCCAGCTGCAAAAATGTGTTCATCGACTTCTTAGCAGGAACAGCCCTGGTCCCTTTGCCGAACCTCACCACAGGGTTCTTACAGGATGATTCTGTTCCTAAACTTGGAGGACCAACTGACTAGTTTTCAATAATTTTTTTTTTGGGGGGATACTGGGGATTAAACTCAGGGGCATTCAACCACTAAGCCATAACCCCAGCCCTATTTTTTGTTTTATTTAGAGATAGGGTCTTACTGATTTGCTTAGAACCTTGGTTTTGCTGAGGCTGGCTTTGAATTTGTGATCCTCCTGCCTCAGCCTCCTGAACCATTGGGGTTACAGGCATGCACCACTGCACCCAGTTAGTTTTCAAACTTGAAAAGCATTATACAATAACTACAGAGGATAATCCACAATGATCAGGTAACCTAAAAAAACTATGTAAAAGCAGACTGCCTTTGGAGACTGTTGGGTTAGCATATTTTGATTTCTTGATTTAAGCCAGTTATCACACATGAAATTTAGAAGCAGAAATCCAAAGTATTGAACCAAAAATAATCAAAGACCTATTAAAAAGGATTCAGTATGTTGTGTGAAATACTTGTATAGGCACTGTCACAAAGATAAGAAAAGAATCAAGTTACAAACCAATACTTAAAATAAGCCAAAATTGCTCAAGAGAATTGAAATCAGGGGTCTTTTGGTTAGATTTTGTTTTTCCTTTCAGGTTCTTTTTACTGGAGAGGGGAGGTGTTATTGACTGACGTTCAGAAGCTTCAAAGTCAGTGCATTTTGAAGAGGTGGCTCTAAGGACCCTCCTATGCTCTGAACCATGCTGCAGCAGTGTCTTCTACCTCATAGTGGCCCACAGGTGTATATTTAGACAGAAGCCTAAGAGCTGAGGCAGGTTGAAAACCCACAGGAGACTCCCCACTTGTGTATGTTACTTAGTTACAGTTTCACTGGAAGCAAATGCCTATTTGGGGAAATTACAATCAGTATCGCTGCACTAGGTATATTTCCTCTCATATTTATTTCCAAGTGAAGAATTGAGGCTTTGCAACTACAGATGCCCAAAGTCAAGAGGAAATCGCCTGGATGGTTAACTTGGCTTCTTTTGAAGGTGTAATATACACTGAGATACAGAGCTCCAGAAGACCAGGGGAGAGCTGCCCCGCCCAGGGCCTGGTGGATTGATGGGGGTTGTGGATGAGGCTGAATTATAGAGGGCTGCTTTTTACCGTGGAAAGTTAAAGTATTTTTTCTTGTTACTTACATATCTACAAAAAGAAATCCAAATACATAAATGTTTCATATTAGAAATTATTATTTTTAATCATGGTAAAATACTTAACATGAGATCTACTCTCTTAATAAATGTTTAAGTGTATAATACAATATTGTTAACAACAGGTGCAATGTTCCACGGCAGCTTCTAGAACACACTCAAGAATCTTAAAACTATAAAACCCAAATACTTTTTAAATTTTTWAAAAAATGACATTGGAAGCATACACTTTATATCAGCAATCAGTTATCTAATGTGAACAATGATGATTTGCTCATGTTAAATTTACAAATTGATCATTTTGGGACAATTCTAGTACCTCATTTTATCTGTATTATCTTTTGACTTCAATAACAAGAAGGCTATGTATTTTTTTCATCTAGGTATCTTATAAAAAACAAGATTAGCGATTCAAGGGCTGGTTGGTTTGCTCCTTGCTACTTTAGAAAATCTGACTTCATACTTATTAAAATCCGCTAGTGTGCAATGCTCAAATGCCAATATAAATAAAGTGTCACTTACTAATTCTATAAAACTAACTGGTAATTTTCCACAAATATGAAGAGAATGGGCAGTGTGGTAAAGTTAATGGATGACTAGATTAGGATTCAGAAAACTTGGTTTTCAGAATTGATCTCTTAGGTACTTGCAGGCCCTTGATTAACCTGAGCTAAATTTCCTTGTCTGTAGGCGTGTGGCAATTACATGAAATAATGGATATGCTATGACAAAGCATTCTAAAGTGCAGTATTTTTGTTGTTGTTGTTAGAAAAGGTCAGTTAAGGAGCTGCTTTGGAGGAAAGATGAGTTCAACTTTAGACTTGTTGAGTTTGAGGTGTCAACATGACATGAGTCGAATGTTCCTTTCTAGTTCAATCACATTGTAGTTTGCAGTCGAAAGCCCTTCCCAGTGGTTTGGCTTCAACCTTCAGATTTTTGGCCTGATACTCCCTTGGCTTYTTTCTCCCTAGACAGCTTTAACCACAGCAGGGAGAATGAGTCCTTCGTGACTTCTTCCCAAACTAATCAAACAGAAAATCTTAATTTGCTCTTTTTCATCTCTGGATCAGTCATGAGACCATGGCTATTACAGGGATCTTCCTCTTCCAAGACAAGCAAGAGCTCCATGTGAGACATCCCTATGCTAAAAGCAAATGTCCTCCCTTTCCTAATGAAATCTAGCTTTAAACCCTCATTTCCCACTATACTGGAAAAATCTGAGATGTTGCCATTTTTCTCCTTCTACATACTCGGTAACCTTCATGGCTGGATGTTGTTGGCTTTTAGCTCTGACACGAACTAGATTTGCCACCACAGCCAGGTCACACTTAACCTTTCCTCCTCTTGGATTTCTCATGGGCGGAGTGACCTGAACAATCCAATCATCCCCGCTGTCTCTTCGAATTCTTCACATTTTGAAGCTTAAAACTTATGGACAACCATTCTCCATTGGTAGGCCCTTTTCTACAGTCATCAGAGCTAGGTTTGAGGGGATCTTTTACTACTACTAAAAAAGGAAAAAGTCAAAATTGTTTACAAAATTAAGAACGACAGCAGCAAAAAGAGTCAAAATGATTTCACGTTATTTTTCAATTATAAAATGCCTGGTTGCTGACTCGAGAACCTATCAGTTGACTTTATACTTATAAGTGAAATTGTGTCTGTACCAAATAACTTGTTGGTGTGGAAATCCTTCAACTGTGAGACTCCCTACATTAGCCCTCAGCATGCAAAGCAAATTGTAACTCCTTAGCTTTTAGGCATGCTCCAAAGCAACCTGTATTTCATACTTCATCACAGATTCTCTTTTTATTTTTTTTCTTCATTCAACATTGGAAAGACTCAATTTGTTTTATTCTAAAAGTAGCATAGAATTATTACTTTAAAAACAAGATAATACAAAATGTATAAAGGCAAAAGTAAAAATCATCTTCCTAAGATCATACCACCCAGGTACAATATAGTGCTCATTTGATATATTCTATAAAATATTTTCCTATTGTACATAGATATTTACATTTTTTATAAAGTGGGATCACTTATACATATGATTTCATAAAGTTTCTTTAATTTACCTTAWTTATGACTAATTTTAACACATTAATAGTTTGTCAACAGAAACAGTATTTTAAATATGTGTATATTAGGTGTATATGTTATACATCTTATGTATAAATAACATATATACATAATAAAATTTTATAAATACACCCAAATATAATTATATGGATGTACTATAATCTATTTGATCATTTTTTCTACTGCTTGATATTTAAGATTTTTTTCAACATTATGTTCTTATTTGTTTATTTTTTTAACATTATGTTCTTATAAATGATGCTGCAAAGGATATCAATATTGATACATTTTTACCATTTGTGCAATTATTTACTTAAGAAAATTTCTCAGAGATTAGAATTTCTGARTTAAATAAAAGTATGTTTGTTTTACAGGCTTTTAGTATGCTCTCCAAAAAGGTCTATAACACCAGTAATGCAGGAGAGTGCTAATTTTACCATAAGCAAAATTTGTCTAAAAAGATAAGTATACAGGATCCTATCTAAATGATAGTATAAGCTTTGCTCTATGTTCTGGTTGAAGTCAAAATGTTAACATTTCTGATTTTCCACACACCAGATTTAAACCTATATGAAATGCTGATGGCTAGTAAAACACATACCTAACCAGCCACTSGGTTGTAATAAAAGCATAACGACCCATGTGTTCCTTCTGTGAAAATTCAGCAGATGCCAGTATTAACCAGTCCACCCATATTCTACAGTACAAAGACAACAGATGTTCCCAGATGATTCAGAAGCAGCGTGGGATCCCGAAGTTCCTCTGAATCATCTTGAGAAAGACTGAAGTATGTTTAACAGGGTTCTCAACAAATGCATCTTATTTGTGATCTACTTTTTGAAAATCCACAAATAAACTGAGCAACTCTCTATGAAATAAAATGCTGCGTTGATCAGAACCCATGAGCTTTCTATCCACACTGGCTGAAAAAGGGTTTACTACAGAGTATTCCGCTTTGTCTCTTGGTAACTGCTTTGGATGATTTCTTGCCACAAACGCTTGGAGAAGGGCACAGGAAGGTCTGCAGGAAGACCAGTGTTGCTAACAGTAAAATCACTCATTGGATATTCAAAAGAAAGAGAGATTATCTATGGTATGTATGCTCATGTGCACATATGTACACCTGTGAATAAGTGCAAAAAATCCCCAAAGTCCATTGTAATTCTATGATGCTATTTGATTGTGTCAGTTGAGAAAATTGTCTTTTCTTGCATTTCCAGAAACATTGCTAAAATTCCTTGGTGTTATGTGATAAGAAAAAAAAAAAAAAACGGATCTATGCAACAGGAAAACTTTCTTGTAATGCTGTGGCTTTTACAACACAACAATTTTTAAGACTAGCACTCTGCTGCCTCAATATATTCAAGCCACAGGATGATCATGTTATATTCAAGGTATTTTAGATGGAAAGTTCAAATAAGCAAAAGTAGTGCAAACCCAGCAAATAAGGGAATCGCTGAGGACTCAGTGTCTTCACCTTAGGGTGGATGAGGTCTAACTGTGTACCAGATGACAAGAGCAGGGACTGACAGGCAGAAGTTCCTCAAGCAATGCGTTAGTTGTCTCCTGGCCTCAGTGTTCCCCTCATCCCACACTCCCATCAAGTAGTTCTCACGACTT